TCCTGATGTTTTTGTTTTTGAATGAGTATAGATCTTACAATCTTTAGTCAGAATAAAGCTCTTTGCTATGAGTCCCACTAATTAACCAGCTTGTTACTGTGGGTTAAACAAAAATGAACAAAAATGAAGGCAAAAGGGAACAAAACAATTAAACCCAAGGTCAGGTAGATACAAAACAGAAAGTTGATTCTGACAGCTAGAAGCAAAGCAGGATGCCGAAGGAAGAGCAAGATGCCATTTGAGTACAGGAACTCAGCTTTCACAGGATGCTCACTAGAAAACAGACACGTTACAGCCCATGTTAAAGCACACAGCTCCTAACCATGCAGTGAGAAACCAGGCTTAAGTCACATAAGACAGCATTAAAAGAAGAGCTGCTCAGTTAAGGTTCAGTTATGCTTTCAGAAGATGAATATCTACATACCAAAACCAACGTTTATCTGCCCTAGAAAAGAGCTTTCAAGTGCTCGTATCATCCCATGTTTCACCACAAAGCTTCCATCCGCACACTGCAGAAAAACAGACTTAAAATTTGCCAGGTTTTCAGCATTGGTTTCCTTTCCCTCACTCTCAGACTACTCCAACAAATTGACTATACATATTTTTAGCTTTTGATTTCAATGCAAGTTGCAGAAATATTTTTAGTGATCTGGGGTTTTAATACATGCACAGTTACCCAGCTGTGTATGGGAACTGAACCAGTGATTGAGCACCTGGGGAAAGGACCCCCATCAGCCCTGGGAGCACAGGTGAAGGCAATTCAGCTGAGTGACAGGAAGGGATAGAGCCTGGCTGCACCCCTCTTGGACCTCATTTAAGGGCTGACTGCTATTGCAGAAGGGTCTCTGGTTGGAGATCCCTCCCTTGCGGAGTCTTTCCTGTGAGCCTAGATGTTTGGAGATGGGTGAGCACTTTCCTTTGTAACACCATTCCATCTATGCTGGTCCCTTTGCTGAATCACCCTTCCAACACGTTAATCTTTCCAATTGTAACAGGCTGGTTTTGTTTTTCATGTGTTTACCTGTCCTGAGCACAGCTTTAATCTACTTTCCACCTATTTTTATGCTGTATGGATTATAACTCTTTAATTTTCACCTCCACTTTCACCTTTTGCTGCTTTTTTTTCCTTCAGAAACCAGACAATGTTGTGATTTTCCATTTTTTTCCCCTGTGTCTTCTGACATTCTACTTCCTTTCATTATTTACTGCTCACAAAGTAAATACACAAGATGTGAAAGTGGCTCTGGACATTGTTCTGTTATATGAAATTGTTTCCAACTTCATTCTTGTCATTAAAGATGACTTTTCCTTCAGAATACTTCACATTTGCAAATCATCATCTTAACTTATCACCCTCCTAAATCCAAACCTCCTTTGTGGAAAGTAATCATGCACTGCCAAACTTGAAAGCACACAAACAGTGACAATAAGTGTATCATCAGCCTTATTGAAGTTAAGTACAGAACATGAAATTATTTGGTTTTATAGATTAAAAACAGAATTAAGCAAGTTTCTTTTTCAAATTCTGGTTTTTTTTGTGTGTGTGTGTTATTTTTTAATTCTTGGAGTCTTATGAGATTGCTTTCACATACGAAAGTAACTTTTCCATGAAGATTTGGAAAATTTATGCCTGATATGACATTATTTTTTTGCCAATTCACAGTCTGTCCTCAGATAGTTTTGCACAAATCCCATTAACTTTAGTATTTACGCCTAAAGGCAGAATTTGAAACCTGTAAAGAACTGGGTCACTGGACAATGGCAAGCCTCAAACAGAGATTTCTTTTCTGAGCTATTACAAGAGTATCTCTTCCCTCAGGCACTATATGAACAATCCCATTTGTCCACAAACAATGCCAAACACTTGAAATTTGATAAGTTACATTTTATCCTTGCTCAGGTAGGATATTTTCTCTTTACTGTAGCTAATAGTCATTTAGTCCTCAATGTAGCATTTGTGGCTGATGCGAACCATCCAGGGACATCCTCCCACGAGGCTGCCTTGCTGCAGGTTGCAGCGCCTCATTCATGCCAACCTTAAAATCACTTTCAACAGCTTCTTGTAAAGAGTTCCTCCATTTTTCTGGGGATTGTTTTTGGTCTCTATGAAAACTGCTTTCATATGTTGGTCACACAACAACTCCTGCTTTGATTTTATTTTTTTACTTAATACTGGCAATAAAATTTCTTCATCAGATTTATAGAATGCAAGATAACTACACGAGATCTGCAAGCTGTAAAATCAGTCCAGGCACTGAGATTTTTACAAACTACGTTTAATGTCTCAGTAAATCTCAGTGAAATAGTCTTAGAAGACCTCAGTCACTTACTGCAACTATTGTATGTATTAACATCTCAGATCTGTATACTGCTTCCATATGACTGGCTATATTCAGACTGATTTTTGGCACAATTCAAGTCCTCATCACTTACTGACTATACTCCCAATATTCATTTCTATTTCTTCCATTTTATTTAATGAAGTCTAAAGAAAACTAGTAAACTTTCTTCAAACATCAGATGTTCTTTTCAACGTTAAACAGATAACCTTGTATTGCAGCACCAAGGCTATTCCAATTCTCTGTATTCTAAATTAATCCATCATTCCTCTTTCCTCTTTTTTTTCCCTCACCCTTGGCAAACAACTAGCCCAAAGGACAACTCCATGGAAAAATTTAAGATTCAAGAAAACATACAACTCAAGCCTTACCTGAAAATACCTTTCTTTGCTATCTGAGATGCAGTCTCCTGTATGTTTTTCTCTCCTTGCTACATTTCCAGCTGCACTGTACAGTCACCATTCTTCCACAGCTACCCATTCCTCTGTCTCCTCCATCAGCCTTTCTTCAGGCTACATTGGTACTTTGTCATTTGCTGCAATCAATTTCAAATAAAAGTGTCCTTACATCAAGTCCTTCGAACGTCCCTTGATTACCTAGCTGTTACTTTCTTGCCCGTTCTCAAAGGCCTAACTACAAGGCAATAGGACATTTTGGTAAATTCATTTATTGCTTCAAAAGTTCTCAATTCTAGACTGGAAAGCAGTAATTGAGAGTCATTAGATACGCTTTTCCTTTTAATGTTCCTTATGCACCATTACAGAAGTAGAGCTGTCTCTCTTCAGGACTAGGGTGTCAGCGTAGACACAGCCTTGTGAAGAAGCATACCAACCATCAGCGGCTCAATTCGAACCTCCCACTACAGGTCATGTTTTCGTGCATATGTGTTTTCTTCTTTCACTGCAATGCTGCAAATTGCTGTTCTGAATGAAAGTTACTGCTTATCTTCAGCACTGCAGAATTCCCAAACCTACTGCCTTTGCCAAAGTTCCTCATAGGCTGCTTTAGCAGAGCATGCTGTGCATTGATTATGCTAGCAAGGAGCTCCCCAGTCAATTTCTTTCATCTTACAGCCTATGTAGGATTAGTTCTGAAAAGTGATACCACACAGCACAGTTGCCATGTTCCAAGTTGAAAAAACCACTTAAACTAGAAAACCTTGCGGAAATTTAGATGCACTCATGCGATCAGCTCTGGGAACACTCATCCCTTACACTTATACCAAAGCTGCTAAGTCTGAAGAAAAAAAAATTTTTGCACAAATTACCAGTCAAATATCATTTCAGGCCATGAAACATGAAGATATCGGCCATTTGGATGTTGAAGCAGAAGCACAGAGATGCCCTGAAACACACACAAAGAAAACAAAAAACCACCAACCATCAGATTCGGCCCCTTCTCCTCATCCAAAAGGCTCCAACGGACGCTCCTCTGAAGGGTCCGAAAAGCACTGCTGAGCCCTCCCACAGCACCGCTGGTGGTGGATGGAGCTCCAGAGCTCTCTGGTGTCTGCGGCAGAATCGCCACTTGAACCACAACCACGGCTCTTTGTCCCCATCCCTGGAAGGGAAAGAGCCGATTGCTGCCTGCCGTACCCCTCGTGCGGCCCAACCTGCCACGTTCACCACAGGAAAGCATCGATTGTAACCCCTCTGCCAACAGCTGAGGAACCCAGGTGGAGAACAGAAACCCACCAGGAAACACCGCTTCTCAGCTCAATTCGGGCAGCTGCTCTCTTTCTGCACTGCTTCAGGTTTCGAAGCAGGGTATGAAATCCATGAAGCACGCACACTGGCGAAGGGGCGTTGGGACCCCGCCTCACCCCTCAGCTCCTCCGTCCATCTCTCCCTCAGGCCAGGCCGTGCCCACCGCCCCGCGGGGTCACGATGCCCGCGGTGAGGATTACCCTCATACCCTCACGGCCCTGGGGCGTTTGTGGCGGGCGGGTGGCGGTGAGATCCGGCGGCCAGAGGAGCGCGGGGCGGGGCGGCGGCTCCTCGCGCTCTGAGGAGAGCTGGGGCCGCGCTGAGGCACCTCGCGCACACCTGCTTCCCGCCTTCGCCTCGCACCAGGCCTGCGGGGATGGGGAGGACCCTACCGCGCCGCTTACGTACTCTGCGCCCGGCGCGCTAGCACCTACGGCATTTGCGCACCAGGAACCCTCTCAGGTGCAGCGCTCGCGCTGACGACATTACGGAGAATCCGTAAGGAACACCGACCTCTTTGAGGGGCTTTACGTAAGTGACGTTCTTAGGCGCGGGCCTGGCCGCTCCTCACCCGCACATCCGCGGGAGCCGTCTGAGCCGCATAGAGCCCTCTCCACGGGGGACGGGGAGGATTACGCAGGCTACGCAAGGAGTAGCAGCTGCAGGTAGGAAATCGGCCAAGGCCGGGCCGGGAACCTTTACGTCAATTCCGCAAGGCTGCGCTGCGCTGCCGCGAGGAGGGAGGAAACGGCCGGCGGGGCGCCGCTACGCACTTGGCGCGGCGGGCCGGCATCTCCCTACGTCGTTGGCGTAAGGCTCTCTCTCAGGTGCAGGGAGGGGGCGGGCTCACGTTGCCCGGCAGCCGCAGCCTATGGGGGCGCCGGGCGCTGTCACGTGCCGGAGCCCCGCTCGCCGCTGCGGAGCCGGAGGAACCGGACGGGGCCGCGGAGCCGGGCCGGGGCCGGGGGCTGCGGCGGGGCCGGCGGCGAGCGGGGTGAGACGGGTGGGCGGCGGGGAGGGGCGGGGAGGCCCGGAGGCGGCCGCCGGCGGTCCCCGAGCGATCCCGAGGGGAGGCGGGCGCCGGGCACCGCTCCTCCCACTGCACCGGGCACTGCGGGCAGGAGGCAAGGGCAGGGCGGGGGAGGGGAGGCGGCGCGGGGCGGGGGGCGCCGGTGCGCGCGCGGAGGGTCGCGGCGCGCGGCGGCCGTTGGGGTTCCGCTCCCCGTAGAGGCGCGGCCGTACCTGGCGGCGGGCGCAGGTGCGGGGCGGCCGGGGCCGGGCGCGGGCGGGCGGCGGGGCGGAAGCGTCCCCGGACGGGGACGGAGAGGCGGCCGGCGGCGGGCAGGTGCGGGGCGGGGGCCGGGGCTCCTCCGCGAAGTTGGCCCCTGCTCTGCTGTGCCGCCCGCCGCGCGGAGCGGAGCGCCGCCGGTTCGCGGTTTGCGTCCCCCGGCGCCGGCTGCGCTCTGAGGATCGCGAAGCCGGTGGTTCCTGTGGCGGTGAGCCGGGAGGACGAACGCGGTCCTGAGTTTCGAATTGAAGCAGAACCGCGCGTTACCTGGCGAAATGGCATCATTTATTTACACCCCCCTGCAAATGGCGCTGTGTGATTTGCGGAAAGTAAGAAAATGTCCTGCGCCGAGAGCTGCGCCCCGCGGCACCGAATGGAGCGCTGGAAACGGGCGTGAAATGGAGCAGTGCTGCCTGTGCCGCGGCTCTGAGCTGCCTGCTGCCGCCTTTGACTTCTTCTGTGAAGTTTGAAATAGGATTTTTACGCCTCCTGTGAAGAAGTGCCGCTAACGTAGTGCAGGACTTTGGTGGATGTTGTTGCTGTCAGGTGTTCCACATCTCTTGCTGTAAGAAATGTGGCTGTGTGCTCTGGGGACAAAGAAACAGAAAATTAAAATCCTCTCCTTCATTCGTGCGGAGAAATTTGGAAAGAACGGAGAAGGCAGGGCTCTCTGAAGAACTGGACGTAGCGGATTTTCTTTTTGAGAACGCAGTAACCGTTTTTGGAGCACCCAAAGGAAGCAGTGGAGGAGGCAGGGAGGTGTTGGCAGGAAGGAAGGGAGATGGAGACGTGCAGGGGCTGTAGGGGAGGCCTTTGGTACATGACAGGGAAAAGCTTTTTGGGATGGGATGGGAGGAAGGCCTGTCGTGTCCATAGGCACTGTTGGTGTACTCCTTTGTATGTGCATGGCGGTTACTCGTGGCCTCTCTGCATTCCCTCAGAAGGTGGACAGTCTGCCTCTGAGATGAACCATCAGAAGAGATGGGTTGCAGTTATTCCTGCAAGTTTGGGGAGGGAGAGGAAGGCCGTGAGAGCAGCTGGGGCTGCCTGCAGCCTGTGCTACGTTCTTGGTTGTGTTTAGGATGTGTGTCTTTTTTATCTGTTTTTTTTTTTTTTTTCCTTTTTTTGCTCTCTGGAACTTTCCAGTTTTTCTCTGCTTCAAGTTGGTGCAGAAGGGAGGAATGGGGAAAAGAGTGGGTATGGACTGCTAATGGTATGGTTTTAATATTTTCAGTTTTCTGCTTCTCGTTATCTTGTCATTGATAGTGCAAGTCCAGTGCTTGTTCTCACATTCCTTGTAGAATCTTTTGTCCTTGCAGAATTTTTATGCCTGTTTGTAAACTAAAAAAAAGGGGGGCTGTTCTTCCACATGAATCATTATTATCGAACTATTGACAATATTGTCTCTCCACAAAAAGGATGCTGATGAAGCACCAGTTCTTGCTCCAGAGGGTTCAGGGGCTTAAATGCAAGGAAGGAATCCAGGACTGAATTTCTTGAGGAACTTGAGGAAGGTTTTTTTCTAGAAATCCTTGTGTGTTGGGGGAGCCCCAGGTGAGTAAGTGACTGAATCCAGCATCCTGGCTTCTCCTCTGAGATGGCATTGCAGATGCAATTGGTTTCATACCAAAGGTTCAGAAGGAACTAAGAAGAAAGCAGGCAAATGGAAGGTGATTGCAGGCACCATGTGTGCAGATCCTTATTCTTAAAGCAGAGTCTGAAGTTAGCTGAGCAGTTGTACAGAAGGCCATTGGGAAAAGAGGAGCAGAGCAATGAGAGCAGAGGGCAGAAGGCATGCCTTCTGTATGTGTTTGTGAAGCAGTTTAAATTGTGGTGGATGTGCAGATCTTGGGAAGCTCTGTTTCTAGCTTGTAAGCAGTATTTTCCCTGAATGTTCATTCAGTAACAGTGATGCTTAAGGTTGCAGAGCTCTTTTCTTTGGAAGCTTTTTGGTGTTCCTCAAGGGTCTGTCTTGGCAGATTTTTTTTCTTTTAAGCTGTCATCTATGAAGTGAATCCTGTTGAGGTGGGGAGGGAAGAAGGCTGTGGGAGAAAAGAAACTAGTCCAGGCTGCTTCATGTTGTGAAAAAGCCTCACTGTAAAATCATAAAAGCTGCACTTTTTCCGTGTCACTCTGGAAGCAGCTGAACTTTGTAACTTAGCATGTAAATAGAGCTCTTTCAAGAGCATGTCCATGGCTGGAAAGAAGGGAGGGGAAGATGCCCTGGCTGGTTAACAAGCTTATGTGTGGAAAAAGCCACTATGATTAGTATTATATATCTGTTAAAATATCTGTTGAAAACAGTAAAGTTTTCAGAGTCTTGTCCTTGGTTGTGGGTAATGCACATAGATATGCTGGCACTTCTAGATGTAAAAAAACTGTAAGAAGGTGGCAGTTTGAGTATTTGTGCTGCCTGGGCTGGATGAGGGAGCATCCCTGGGGCAACTGCGAGGAGGCAGCCCTGGCTGTCTGAGGGAGGTGCTGGGGAAGTGAGAATGCTGCGCTTCAGTCTGTGCCCTGCTATGCTAACTGGCAGCTGTTGGTGAGTTAGGGCTTAAGTTAAGTGTAGCCATGCCAACAGAGGACTTCAGCATCACATTTCTGTAACTTAGTTTGTATTGAGGTCAGGGAGAGAAGGCTTTTCTGTTCTAACAACATATGTGTGAGGAAAGCTTGGCTGATGTAGTGTCCTGGATTTCCTATAAAATGAGCAGTATTGGCAAGTGAAGGTTATTTTACTGCTGTATATGCAGCAGCCATGAAATTAAAGGGAAAAATCCTGTTAGAAGTAACATGAACATTACAATTACAGATTTTAATAGCAGAAAAATGCAAATCTGAAACATTTTTAAGAAAATAATTGTTTTAGTACAGATGTTGTACTTGAAGTATGCATGTGACAAATATAATTTTGTTGTACAAAGTTTCTGGAAAGAAAAGCCTAAGATGCCCTACCTGAAAACATTTGCTTCTATTTCTATTTAAAGCAGTGGTTAATAAAAATGACAAGACCAGAGACAATATTTTTTCAGTTGTTCTTCTGCATTTCTTGGCACTTGTGAAGTTTTTCATTCTTATGTGTGAGCCTTTCACAGAGCAGTGACGACAGAAAATGCAGATAGTGGTGCACTGTGTCAGCTCACACACAGATCATGTTCCTGCTCCACTTCTTTGAATAACTCTAAATTTATGTCTCTTTAAGAAAAAGTGTGTGTAGGAATTGTTACAAATTATATGGGGAAGTTAAACTGCTTGCACTTTTTTTTTTTTAACTTGTAGCAAGATTGCCTTATTTCTGGTCTTTTAAGTGTCATGGAATGAAGGAGGACTGAGAATTTTTGGACCTCACTGCATGTTGGTCTGTTGCCCCATATTCATAGTTTTGCTTTGCAGTGCATATTCTGACCTTTCTGTTAATTTCCTATGCAGTACAGGAATGTAGGCAAGGTGCTAGTTATAGGGGAAACATAAGAAAAAATTCAGAGCATGTGGTTTGTTCTGCTGCTACTGAAAGGTATGTAAAGCATGGTACTGGACTGCTGTGTCTGTCCTCTGCCAGCTAAAACCAAGAATTGAGACTAATCCTGTGTGTGGATTTTCTGTGCAGCCAACCGGAGCCGCTCTGTTACTGGGCCATCTGCACATTTGCTGATTGGTTTCTCAAGTAGTAAAGGCCATGGATTATTAAAAGCCTTGCCCTCATTGTTTCACTTCATGGAATTTTTCCACAGCTATGCAAAATTTTTCTTTTCGTAGTAAAATGCTTTCTTAATATGCTGGCAAACTGAAGGTGTTGGTGGATGTTGAAGAGGAATCATCTTATGAAATCCATTTGCTAACTATTTTAGGAGATCTCTTGGATTGTGGAAACTGAAGTGATCCTGTTGCACAGGCTGATTTAGAGCAGTTCTCTTATACTGTGGCTTGGCAAACTATTGAATAGCCCCGAAATGCTGCTTGTGATGGACATAAAGCAGCATATACTTTACATTTTGCTACTAGACTCTAATTTATCTGTCGTAAGGTTTGTGTACCAATAGTAGTAAATTCTTTTTACGGCAGTGTTTCTCTTCTATGTAATATCTGCATAAGGGAATTAAATTACTCTTAATTGTATCCTTAAAAATAAATTTGGGGCATGTCTGGCTAGCACATTAAATTAAATTTTGCTACTTCACATTCTTACTGCCCATTTACTTCAAATTGACTTTATTGAAAAATTAAATGTTTGAATATCTGATTGGGAACAACACTGTCATTAGTGGGTAATCGTGAGATGTCACAGAACCTGGAGAAATCTTAGAAAACAGAATCCATTAAGGTTTTAGACCTTAAACCTCCTGATATAGTTAGAAGTGAGGCAATGATTGAAGCTGAACTGGCTGTTTGGCTTAACAGCCAACGAACTCAGCGGTGATGAACTGCTGTTGTCCCTTATACGCTGCCCCACAGGAGGAGCAGCAAAGAGCAAGTTGGTTTGGAAGGCCTTTATTTCTCTCCTTCCTTTTATTCTTGCGAGGGGAGACGCTTTCATTAAATGCATTTCTTGTTTGACTTGTAGCACAGCAAATCTGAGTATTAGTGCAGTGTTTAAAGCGTTGGGCCCTGAGATGTCCTTAAGTATCCTCTGAGGTACAAATACGATGTTACACATGGAAATGTTTCTCTCAAGCCACTGTTAATTCAGTTGTCTATAACCCTAAACAGAGTCTTCCCCTAATCATAGTTCTCAGCTGGCAGTGTCTGCCTTCCTGGAAAAGCATTAAGGGACTACAAGTGAGCATGAAGCTATGTGGAGCTGGTTTGGGAACAAGTATTGCCTGTTTCTAGAAATGAGCTTTAGCTAAACAGTCACAGAAGATGAGGAGACTTGAGGCTTGGGATCTGGATCTTCATGGGCACGCAATGCTGCTGATCTTGTCTGGTGAGACTTCACTAGGAAGTGATTTATCCTACTGGCAACAATACCATGAATTACTATTTTTTTTAGGGGAATGGATCTGTAGCACTGGATTTTGTTGAGTCACAGAGATGATCTTGGAGGAGACATGAAAAATGTTGCTATTTGTTGTAGGGCACTGGATACCAGGCAGCGTGAAGCACCCCACTGAATTTAGTTGTCATTGTTGAAATGGATAAAGCTTTAGAAACTTTTATGTGGTTATCTTTATTCCAGCACATGATATATGATTCTATGGCTTCTTGGCTTTTTGTATAAAGGCATGAAAAGTATGCCTGGTAGGGGTCTCCTGTTAATTAAAGTTAGAAATACTGTAGGTGAGTGTCAGTTGCTCAACTCTGCACCTTGAAATGAACTGAGAGAAGAAATTTCAATGGCCCCAATTCCTTTCCTGAAAAACAAGTGCAGTGAGAATGGAAGTTTCCTCCAGTTTTTCTTTAATTGATATAGACTGAAGTCCTGCCTAAGTCCCTGTTGGAACTAGCAGCTGGATCCTAACTAAAGCAAAGGAAGTTGAGCTCATCGTGGTTGCCCTATGAAGAGTTAGGACATCATTAGATAGAGAAATGAGATTTCAGATGTAATCTTTGATATCTTCTAGAGTTATTTGTCAAATGTATATGGTATGAACTTAGAGAACTTGGACATCTACTCCTCTTCCACTTTCAATCTCAGTCTTTTCCCTCTTTAAAGACCTGAAATGTTTCCATCACAAAAACTGTTAGTTTAAAGCCACTGATTATTGTACTGGGGCAGATATGGTGACAAGTGTTCTAGCAAAGCCAGGAAGAAAGGCAAATACTCAGAAAAGGGATTGAAGACAAGGCTGATAACTGCTCTGCTTCTGGTGGGTGAGGGTGAAATTGGTGGCTGCCAAAAATACGAGCTGAGACAAGTAGCTCATTCTGCTCTGAGCCCACATCTGCACACACCTCCCTATCTCTACAGATGGCCAGGAGGCTGAAAAGAGAACACAGTTGTCTAAATTTGTGTAAGAGAAAAGAATCACTACTCCCACCTTGAAAGTGCATAAGAACCTCTTGTAACTCAAGTGTTTCAACCAAATTTAAAAAGTTTGGTGGAATTTTTAGTCCTAGTAAATTGTGTGAATCCTGACACTGTAGCTTCTAAATACATTTTATATTTTTTCCTACTTAAAGATGACTGACTGGCACTGGACTGTTCCTTTCAAAACTATCCAGCTAAGGAATAAATTTGATTTAGAACAATTCTTTGCATGCTTATGCTGTAACAGCTAATCAGTGTGATACTGTTCCATTTTAAATTTCACAGTACTATGTGTTTTAGAGAAAAGAATCTGTTGCTATCTAAATAGTGATGACACTATTTGAGGAATTACAGTAAAAGGCAGTGTGCATCTTGAGCAGGTCTCTGATTAAAAACTGAATGCTCCTAAATTTTGACCACGTTATGTTGTTTCCACCCGAACCAGAACACTGAAGTACCTGAAATTGGAGACCTCCTGGTTCTTTCATAAACAAATGAACAAAGTTCTGTTGCTTAATTTCTTGCTATGGATCTGGAGCCTGAGCTTCATGTTCAGTTTCAGCGAGAAAGAAAATAGGATAGCAGAGCTGAGAAAACTTGCAGAGAGGGCTTGAACAGACCTACTGATAAAGCTACAGCTGTTGAGGAATTGTGACTTACTAAAGGAGATTCCTAAAAGGGGAACGGTGCAGCCTGCTTTGAGCGTTACTCAGTGAGTTGCAGTTCTTAGTCAAACTTAACTAGTGCAGAGGTGGAACATTTTGTGCTCTTTAATGTGGAATCTGCAATTGTTAAACTGACTGCATGTTACAAATGAATCTTTTTCTGTGTAGCTGGGTAGTAACATACCTCTGTTGTGGTTTCTGTTGAGATGTTTCCAAATGTGCTTTTAGTAATGCAGCACAAACACAGCATTGTCATAACAGCATTCCATCCTTGGTGAGAAGTTGCAGCAGTACCGTGCAAAGGTGCCACTGGTCTCTTCCTTACAGGATGATGTTGGTCATCCTTCCAGCATTATGTCTACAAAACTTTCTCTGACTCTGTCAAGTTTAGTGATATTTGGTGGAGAGCATGTGTACTGAATGTTAAGGCAGGGAAGGATTCGGAGTAGAAACACTCAAATACAGAGGTGAGTTGATTTGGATCAATGAGTTGCCTGTAGGTGGGTGAAGTCCAGATGGAACTGTCAAAAGTTCACTCCTTATTTCGTGTATCCTTTTACTGTGGATGCTGTAGCAGTTATTGCAATGCCTGAATATCATCCTGGTGCTTCTGCAGTGGGTGTAGTTGGCTCAGGCTGTCTCCATGCAGTTTTTCCTAGGAAGAACTGCTTCAGGAGAGCTCATCTGAGCTTAGGACTCTGGTACACTTACTGATTGTTTTTTTCCCACACAGTGAAATGTAATCTTTATTTTAATGTAAATGCCTTGACTAGGTTCTTTACTTTTGTTCATAAATGTTTGATCTGTATGTGGTACTTGCCATAATCTTGTGCCAGAGAAATGAAGACTTGCTTTCTGTTCGCACTGGGCACTACTGATTTGCAGGAGTTGACTGATTTTACTGCCAATTTTAGCAGGTGTGCTGTGTCTCAATGAGTCTCTTTACCCTCACTGCACAGTACACACACTAGCAAGTCTCATGCTCAGTACACAGAAGACTGAATTTTGGCGGAGAGCTGAGGAGTGCAGGGATTTGTTGTACTTCCCCTCTTTTCTTTTCCTTGTTCTGTTTCCATTTGTGTTCCTCGTGTTTACAAAGCTCAGAATATTTCCTGTAAAACCTGTGTGTGTGTAGTTGGTTGACTGCATGCATATTGTCCACAGAATGTAGTCCTAAGTTTTCTTCATACTTCAGAATTTTGGAGAAGATCAGAAAACTGTCATCCTTTATGCTGTGAAAGGACTGTAGTGTTCTTTCACAGAAGCGTTTAAAGAGAAGGTTGGTGGTGTGGAAAAGATTTTTTAAAAGTGCTTTTTGGCTACTCCTGTTGGGAAAGAAAAATCTCTCTTAAGACTGTCATGTGGTTGCAAAAGCTTGCTGTCATCCTCATGTGTAAAGAATGGGAGGCTGGAGGATGGGGAGGCAGAATGTGGGGCAGAGCTGGCTGGTGGGGCCAGGCTGCCTGCTGTGCTCCTCCTGTGAGCTGCAGGAGCTCCAAACCGCTTCCCCTGCTGGGCTGTGGCTGTCCAGCACTGCAGCACAGGAGCAGCTTGCAGATACTCAGCAGAGCAGCGGTGGAACAGGGCAGCTGTACAGCCTGCTATGTGGGGAGAAGAGAGAAAAGCTCGTGGAGGACTCTGTTTCTCTGCAGGACAGGAGAGAAAACCTACAGTGGTACACTCTGAACTCTGCATATAAGTTCATTAGTGAGGTTTGACAGTTCTGCATTGTTTCTGTCAAATTGTGGATGCTTCACGATGAACCAGCTGTCACTGTTCTGGCACTGGTAGCAGTGGGTCTGGTGATGGGGTAAAACCTGACATTGTATACCATGTCTCTATTATCTCAATAATGCACTTCTTGAAAAAGTGTTTATTCCTTCTGCAATTAACTGGTCATTAATAAGCTGCTTTCAATCACTCTTTCCCAACTGAGTAGTTGGTGGTTTTGCAATTGTGCAGATTGGAGTTTTTAGAACAATTATTTATATCTATGGGACATGATTGCTTTATTGTTCTGAAAGAGGCAACTATCCAACTTCTGTGTCATTTATCTTGATTAACCTCTTGTTTTACCTCCTGCATGCTGAGTTTTCAGTGAATCTTTGTAAGAGGGGAAAAAAAAACTTGATAAAACCACCCAGAGGTTCATGGCAGAAAAGTGTCTCCCAGCAAGACCCAGTGCAAACATGCTCGCAATTTTGTTCTGGAATGTAGCCTGCCAATTAGTTGTTTGGGATTGTTTTGAGTTAACCTATAGTGCCTGAATGCCTTTTGAGAAGCTACATTTTTTTCTTGTCTAGTAGGTCTCAGTATGTCTCTTGGTCTTTAAATGCATGCATCATTTTTTTCTCACTCTATTTTCTATCCCAGATAAGGGACACTTAAGGGAGAGGATATAACACTTTTGGTAAAGAAAAACTGCATTGAGATATGGTGCTGTGAGCTCAAAAATCTCCTCACCCATGCCCCTGGAATAGGGGACTATCCTACCAGGTGATACTGGTATGTCATCTATTGCTATTTTGAATGTAAATTGGCATCAGAATCTTGAAGAAACCATTGAAGAAAAAATTCAATGGCCAAATGCTTCCATGTGTTGAAAAGCAGTTGCCTGTCAGTGCATCACCTTCACATGTGGTTTTTCCAGGTGACAAAAACAGGCCAGTAATTTAAAAAAAAAAAAAAAGCAGGAGTTGTTTTTTTCCCCTCCTTTTCCCAGCAGTGGTGCTGGAAGAGGAATTTGGAGAGCCTTTGAGAGCAGGAGTCAATAGTGAAAAAATTCTTAGAAGTTTCATCTTTGGCAGAGTTTCTATGTTAGGAGCTGGTAACAGATCTGAGAAATAAACATGATACACTGATAGGTTTTAACTACTGACTTTCAAGTTATTTTTGGAGGGCTTATGCAGTGAAGCCATAAATGTTTGTCCATTCTCAGAAGAAGCAGCATTTATAAGCAATAACTGAAAATCTAAGAGTTAAACTCCCTAGAACTGGGAAAAGTTCTACGTATTTGCAGTTATCAGAGGACATCTTCTGGAGCTCAGTATCTGTGAGAAAGCAGGACAATGGCTCTTAAATAACAAGGAGTTTCTCTGCAGCTTGTGTCTAATGTTAATACTGACTTGGACTCCAAATTGTGGAGTACGCCTGAAATTCAACATTCAAAGCCAAAACAATATGCTAGAACTTGGTTCCCAGAGAAAGAAGCTCGATGCTAAGGAGTGGACTGCTTTTGCACAGTGGGGCTGTGTGGCTTCTCCTCACCTTCCAGAATGGCACAGGTCCCTTACCAGTGTCCCGAAATGTTCTCATTTCGCTGGCTTCTGTTCTTCCTGAGAACAGACTCCATGCCTTGTGCTGACTAACAAAGGAGGACTCCACTGTGCTTGTTTTCAAAAGACATGAGGTCTCTGAGTCCATGTCCGTCTGACTTTCCAAAGAGTAGTGGTTAAAAAAATCTAATGTCTGAAAATAGGACGCATTCTGAATTAGATTCTTGAGTTTAATCTCACCATACTCATACAGAATTGCTAATATGAATCTCATGAATCTACAGGTAATTGTTGTCAAGCATTTACTGCGACCTTTTGCCAAGTTGGCCTTTGAAGGATGGCTCTGGTCCTATGAAGAAGAAATGGAATAGCAAAAGCAGCCAGCAGCAGTCTGTTAAAATTAAACTAAAAAGGTTTAAGTAAAAGCTGAGGGGTGAGGGTGGTGGCATATTCTGCAACTTAATGTGTATGGTAAATGGCAAATTAATTTATTTTCCAAGTCTTACCATAGATTTACAATGATATTAAGAAATTCACTTTAGACTTTGGTGGATGGAGTCTCTTCTAAATGGAAATTATCAAATTTATTCCTATTGTAGGGATTAGAAAAGTACTGTTTATGTTATGTATGAAAGTGCTGTGAAACTCTTGTGTGTACAGCTCAGTCTGATAGGTTTTGCTCTCTGTGGTAAAAGCACACTGAAACTTCATACTGCAAACGAAAGGGAAGAACTTACTACATTTTAGTCTTTGCTGTTAAATTGACCTGAGTATTACAGTATCCTATAGGTTAGCAGTGGGGCATTGGGTAGTTCTGTCTGTTTACCAGTAGATGGAGAAGTAACGACCTATATTTCTTTAGTTTGTAACCTCTGAGCTTTTTCATTCAATCAACTGTTCATGGTATTGCAAAAAACAAACAAACAAAACACAGCGTCTCTGCTGCCATTCAAAGATTGCAAATAAATTTGCAAGGATTGCCAGCTGCATTCACAAAACAGCTTGGTGACACCTGCATGCTCTGCTAAGTATCTAGTTCTGGTATTTAAGAATGAGATCAGAGTCTCCAAGTGCAATGTATTTTTCCCATGGTAAATGGAAAAAAAAATTACCATAACCATATTTGAATTAATATAGTTACGTAAGTAGTGTTATTCAGCAAACTGTGCTTATGCTGCCATGGAGCTAACTTTGATTCCTCTATTAATTTTCGTAGTGACTTTTGAAGAAGAAAAACCACTGTACCTGTGATTTTTTTTCTCGGCACAAAAATAAATGAAATGTCTCTGTCAGTTGTCTGAAACCATGTGTTGAAAAGCATGATTTTTTTTCTTAACAGTTTTGCAGAGTAATAGCACAGAATATGATTTGGATTCCAGAAGAAACATGCTGGGTCAATTTAAAGTCTGCCAAGTTCTAATTTGCAATTTCTAGAAAACTTAAAGCAGAAACATCTGAGTGCCTGCAGAAGTCATCAGTCTAAATTTAACTCACAGATTTTGTCTCAGTAAAGCATGAAACTGTCTGGTAGTGTTTGTCCACTGAATTCCAGGCACTCACTGTTCTTTCACTGAGGTTCTGCATAGGTGGAAGAAGCTATTTAGACAATGTGAGAACCTGAAATTCTTTTAGCACTAAAATATGGTTTTTGACTGTAAAGACTAAGAAGGTTTTTTGTGCTCTCAAGATTAGAGTTCAGTGTTTGCTTCTCTCTGGTTCTTGTTCTCTTTGCCATATCCTTTAATAATGATGATGCTGTGACATGGGCACAGATCTATACAGATGGCTAAGCAGGTAAGAAAACCAGTAAGGCTGTCATGTGATGCAGCTGCATCAGAAATTCTGACTGATAGATGAAAGGTCACATGTATTGCTTCCCAGCTTAGCAGTAATGCTGTTAGTTTATAAAGTAGCTGTTTTTTATTCTGGTTTTGATCCTGTGCCCTGCAGTTTGAACTGTGCACTCCTACCCTGACACACTGTAGCTTTCCCAGCATGCCTTCTTTAAAAAAATAAAACCAGAAATCCCTTCACTATTGCTTTCAGGAATAGCAGGTTTCCTGTGATCAGGGGAAACTGAAACGTCTAGTTGCAAAATACAGTTAATGGCCCCAAATAAACAAACTGTTTTTCACCAGTCCTTCCCCTGACTGCAATTTCAAGTGTTACTTCTAGCAACTACAGTGTATGGAGGGAGCTTTGGGCAGAAAGTGAGTTGGTGGTGGTTGCTGTAAATCAATCTCCCTGCAAAGCCAAGAGCACTTTGAATGCTGCTGTTGATTCCATGGTTTATTTGTTGCCTTTGGATGAAAAGTGGGTACATACCCTCTTTTACACTGGAGTTGCAACAGCTTGCTGTCATGCACCTGTGCTTCCTAACCTGGATGACATCTTACTGACCTCCACACATTTACTGAAACGCTGGTGCCTTTGGCTTGTGGCAGGCAGGTTGCCTACAAGACATTGGTGTTCACCATAGCCTTCTATTTTGTTGTTTAGACATGTATTGCTTTATGTTGAGAGAGCAAACTGAGACGGTAATTACATGATGGAGAGGAAACAGTGGTGAATGACACAGATTGAAGAACCACTGGTATATTTTATGCTGTTCTCAGTAAAGTGGTACATTAGAGATGGTATCGTTAGCTGTGAAGAGAGATTAAACAAATTCGTAGCACTTCATGAAATTTAAGGGAAGTGAACCAAAGCAACAAAGTTGTGCTTGTGTCCTTAAAATGACAGCCAGGTGAGGTTGGTGGATTTATGCTGATAGCTCCTTGGGGTTTGTTTGTTTTTCCCCAGAAAATATGCTTTATTTGGATTTAATGTAGCTTCTCAAGTTCAAGATTAGTTACTTAGCTGTGTTTTCTAAAGAAACTAGAGGATGATGCTACAGATATTTCGGTATATAAAACTTTGATATTCTGTTATAAATAAGCAGTTAAGGAATTCAGTTCTCAACTCGGGAAATGCCAATGATGCAGAAACTGAAAACAAAATCTCGTTTGGTCATCAGAGTGGAACTAGAAAGTGGTCAACTCTGATGGTAGATGTGTATTGGCAGAGAACAGAAGAGCTCTTTGCACAGCACTTGCAGACACTAATAGTCGTCTCTTCCAAATCCTTGTGAATCTTCTCTCTTGAAAAAAAAAAAGAAAAATCAGTGAGGCAGCAAGACTGACATATCAAAAAATGCACTTAAGTGGAGAGTCATGAATGTTTAAACTGGCTGATGTGCATGCCATCCAGTGTGAATTTGCAATATTGGAAATGCCAGGTTCTTCATGTGTTGCCACTGGGGACATCAAGGAAGAAATTCTAGGGGAGAGGCTGATCCTGATACGTTGAAGGAAAAAGGTCTTCCTCTTTTACATGAGAATTTTAGAAACATTTTCTTCTGTGTTGGTGAGTGGTGACACGAAACTGACCTTTTGGAGTGCCCACGAAGTGTCTAGTGATACTTCACTGCAGTAAGCCTATGTGCTAAATGGTACCTGCAGAGACTGTCTTCTAGGAATCCAAACTGCATAGGTGTTTCCTATGATGTTTAGGTGATTTTGTCTTGAGAGGAACAAAATTTGTAGCTTAGGCTAGCCTGCGGTCAATGGGATATGAATCATAGCAGGAAGGAAACTGGGACACTGCAGCTTTTTGAGTTAAGTTGAAGGATGCTGGGGAAAGAATGTCCCAGTTCTTATCCTCTCCTTCACTGTGACTGCTTCCCACTATGGTTCTGGAGCAAAGAAAAACACATAGGTAAGGATGTGGACAGAAATGATATGGGGATGGAAAATGTCAAAGAGTTTGAAGGTCTACAGAACTGTGGTATTGAGATCAGAGAGCAAGGCATGGCTTAGGCAGTAGGAAGCCCAGCGTGGTACCAAACTGCACCGTGTACTTGAGAAGGTAGAACAAGTGGTTCTGTTTTGGAGAATTTGATATCATTTCAGACCTAGATCTAGAAATTTGCTCAATTCATATGTGTCTCTGGGAAAACTGACAGTGCAGATGAAGTCTTTTTAGTGTAATGTAATCCTTTTTATTAATTTAGTTAATTCTTCAACTGTAAATGAATGCAGTCTGTTTTGAAATTATTGTGACTTTTTTTTTGAATGTTGATATCAAATTATGACTGCTTCACCAACAGGTCTGTACTGCAAAGTAGCTCCAGGTTTCCAGTGTCCCGTTTAGCAAGAAGAGCAGGAATGCACGTGTTAGGTGCTGGAAGCTGGAAATCAGTTAAACGTTTCAGACATGGAGAGTCTAGTCATGGTTTCTGTCTAGTCTGAAGATGAATACTTTGCTATTATTTATTTATGTAGTATGTAATTGCGGGGTTTTTTTTGTGTTGTTTTTTTTTTTTTTTTTAAGACTGTGCCAAGAAGTTCTCCCTCTGTTATTTATGTATGTGTATATATTCTTATAGTGCTGTTTTACAGAAAGTTCTGTTCTGGATGTTACTGACAGGTTGAATGTTAATTAAGTTCATTGTACTTTGTGTTCATGTGTCAATTTGTTATTTAAGAGACAGAAGTTCTCCCAGGAAGAATGACTTGGATGATTCTTCTATTCTGTTTATCAAATGAGTGCCTAACCTGTCTCTGGCAACCATAAATGTGGGGTGCTGGTGCTACCTACTCAGAAGAAATGTGAGCATGGGAGCCTCTTGTCAAACTTTTGTAAGAACCAAACAAGCAGGAGTGATACCCAGTCAGTATTTATTGTATGGAGGGTAGGAATGTCAGAGGAAGTACCTTTCCAGCTCTCAGCTGTAGTGTTGCTTTATAATTTTCTATCTGGCTGGAAAATTGCAGACTAAAGGCTAAGCCAGATGCAACTTTGCCAGGAACTTTGAAAACAATAAAACTCGTGTGGATGTACAGTCGCCAGGTGAAACTGGATGGATGCTGAGAATGTTGTTGCGAGCAATCTGAGTTTTAGTAAATACATATCCCAGTGTTATGGTTGCATTTCTTTACAGACTGCTTTTTGGTTGCAATTGGCAAGAGTTTCTCTTTTATGGTGATGGAGAATGAGGAAACCAGTTCTGTACAGCACACAGGGAATTTGCATTTAAAACAGCAAACATCTGCACAAAGGTACTCTGCAGGTTTCTCTGCCCTACGCTCCTCACAGGATCCTTTTGAATTGTATTTCTTATCTGTATCTACTGGTTTGTTGATACTTTTAACATGAGAGAAAACTATTTTGCTATTTCGCTGTCAGTTATTCTGACACTAATCAACTTTGCAGATCTTGTTTTGTTTGATGTCTGCGTACATCACAAAAAGAGTTGCTGAAAGAGTTCAATTATAATATCAGCATCTCTGCCAAATGTATTGAGCTGTTCTGAAAAGCAACTTGTCTTTTCTGACCCAGATACACAGTTTCCAACTGTGGGAGATGCTGCCAGAAAGACTCTTGGCAGGAGGCCAGCAATAAAATTATACTACAGAAAAAACCAGCATATTTTCAGCAGCACTATATACGGTGTGACGGAAAATTACCTGTCTCCTAGATGCAAAGCAGAAGTTAAAACAAAGTTGCAATTTAAAGCTACAGTCCTCTTATTATGATTTTTTGAAAGTATCAAAAAATGATACAAATCCCACTTTTTCTTACCTGTTCTGTGCAAATTTGAGTTATTTTTTGTTATTGTCTGACGCACCTCAGGCTGTTAGATGTTCGCTCATTTGCTATCAGCAACTGTAGTTGTCCTTGCTACTCTGTTAACAACTCAGAGGATATCAGGGTGGTGTATGTATGCTGTAAACGGAGCTCTTGTGAGCAGATGTTGGTGTAAGGGTAGATAATGAGGGTGGAGGTTATTTTTCCTTCAGATAAATATTTCTGGCCTGTGCCTTTTGCTGTAACATTCAAGACCAGTTTCTACACTGTAATAAATGGCATGGCATCTGTGCCTTTAACAGCAGCACACTGAAGTGAGAACATGGAGCACAGTGACCCCAGTTTCCTCCTCTGTTAAGCCATTTCTGCAGCGCTTCTGTTCAAGTACTGCTGTGTGCTGTGAGAGGCTCTCAAAACACCAGAGTAGTTCTGCATTCTAGAAGGTTACAGCTCTCAGGTTTGGATGTTATAACACTCTCCTTAAGGAAGGCAAGTACCTGTTTCTCCTGCTTTTCTCTGTGCTGTTCCCAAGCACCTGAAGGTACATAAGCATATTCATTATTTCTGGCTGTTTAAATGTCTCTCTTGGGAACAGAAGTGCCAGATGCAGGAATATGCCCTACTACAAAGGCCTCATCTGAAATTCTTTTCCTTGTTTGTCTTGCACCAAAGCATAAACTTCCTCTGTGAAGGATGGGATGTTTAATGGAAACACTGTTAGACTGTCATGGTGTTTCAATAACATTTCTACTGTGTCAAATCCCCAGTGACATTAAACCACACTGCAGGCTCTGCTCGACTGTTCCATAGCATGGTTGGGAGACAGCAAGTATTGGCCCTTTTTTTTTTACACTTTACGTGATACAGAGGTAAAGTGACTTTCTCAAGCTCACCACAGTCTTGTTATTGCTGGTAGCTTTTTCTAGAGTTTTGTTACAAGTGTAGGTGGAAACCCTTGCATAGGGCAACCACACAGAATATTACTGTACCTTTAGTCTGGACTTCAGCTGTTATTTCCATGAGCACACAGGGACAAGTATCCTGCTGTAATCTAGAAATAAAATGATTTTTTTTAGTTTTCCTTAATTCTGCATGTTTTCAAACATATTTTGTTCTCTATATTGCATCTGTATTTTTGTAGCAAACGTCCTATTTAGTGCTTTTATTGAAAATTTTCTCTTAAAGTTTGAACTATATTTGGTTTTCATTTCATTCTTGTGCGTGTTTCTCTGAAATATTCTTAGAATGTTAATTAGCATGACTTGCAGGTATGTTAGCTCCAGCTCATCACTCAGGAAGTTTTTTTAAACTTCAAGTTATTATGATAAAAGTACTGGTAGCAATATAAGTCCCTCTGTAATTCAACTATGTGTGCTCAGACCTCAGCCACTCATGGATGAGAGAAAGGGCAGGTAGAATCAAACTCATAAATATCTTCGTCCAGATCTATTGCATGTTGCTGAAACTTGAACCTCTTTTAAGATATGATGATTACGACTCTTTTAAAGCAGACTTCTGAGAGGTTTTGGTGATTTTGCTTCAACTGTCTAAATTATAGACTGAAAATGAATGTTTCACAGCTGCTCTGTATTTTCAAAGAACACTGAAAAGCACTGAATATATCTACAATTGCACCCTGGGGTATGGCTGTTTTCAGAACTTGTGAGGTAGATTGCAGGTTTGCCCTCTAGACAACAGTCTGCTTGCAGTTTTTCTGAAGCACCAGAATTTGCTCAGCCAGCTATCTTTGTCCATCTGCTTTCAGTATACTGTATAAGCTGATAAGCAACAGCTTGCAGTAGACTTAGGAGGGAGTCCAGGCTGGGGTGTTGCTTGGAGTCTGGAGATGTCGTGCTGGGTACATGCTAGAGTCAGCAACACATTCCAGTGTCTTCTGCCTTGATCTGCCAAATTACAAAGAAGACAGCAAACTGAAAATGTGAAGTGCTGGAGTCACAGGAAGAAGGATTATGTGAAGGTGGTTCTCTCTTCAAACTGAATCCATCTAATTTGAAAGAGATGATCTAGAAACATGTCTGATAAGCTTGCCATCTGCTGACTCTAAAGCATATTAATTACTATTATTATTATTATTATGACTATTATAGAAAAAGCTAAGTAAAAATACCTCATAAAGAGTCTGGTTCTAGAGATGGTGAAAAGCTATTAAGTTTGAATGAGCTTATGACTAGCTCATGTACTAAGTTGTGCTGAAGCAGTAATCTTGGTGCTTGCTTGTACTTCCAGCTGTCCCTGCTTGCCTCTCAAGATCACCTAAGGTAGGAATCTGGTCCCTTAAAGAATGTCTTATTTGATCACTTCTGGGAAGCAATATGGTAGTGTTAAGGTAACTTGGTACAATACATAGCCTTTGTGATAAGAAAAGAGGTCCTTCAGGGCTTTCATTAGCTTGCTTTTCCCAGCTATTTTTAGTATGAGCATCATCTCACCTGTCCCTGTGCTGCTGCCAAACTTGCTTTTAATCTCCAAAACCATCAGGATTTTTTGACAGGCAACATGCAACATACTGCTGGAGAAGTAAAGACTGACATACAGGAGAAAAGGAAAATATTTTGTGTATGTGTGTATGTGTGTCAACCTGCAGAAGTTTTGACTGGGTCTTCCAGTTACTTCAGAATGTTGCCAGAAAGCTGATGCAACAATATATACAATGAAAGGAAAACAGGAGCTTTCTCCAAGAACTAGTTCCAAGAACTATGCAGTAAGCTTATACTTTTCTCTCTAGCACTACCTGCTCTGTCATTCTCCTAGTTTAGTACAAGAGGGCTGCTCTAGAAGCTTTTTTAGCTGTTATGTACTGCAAAAAGCAGTGCAAGGGCAGAAAAAGCAGCATGAATGATTTCAGCGAAACGTGATCACAATTCTCATGTCTTCAGTTTATTATAATGTACATCTCTTTTTTTTAATAAGAAATTAGTTATTGCCACCCGAAGTACAGCAGCTGGCACATTCAGAATCAAAGGCTGCACAGAGGATTTCAGCTGCTAATTACTTTTTAATGATTAAATCAGTGTTAACAATAGCTATCTTTTCGAACTGGTTTCATATGGAATGTATTTGAGACTTTGGATTTCCGATTTTCCTCGCATCAGAAATGTAGATTGCCAGTTGGCTGACAGTGCACTGAGAGAAGCTCTGACTGGCATGGGAAAGCAGTTACATTCGTGTGGGCACATCACATGAAGTTGATTCCTGTAGTGACATCTGCTATTGTTCTGGGAAGAATGATTTGGTAGCTCTTCTCTACTGTGAAGCCAGCTTGCTTTAGTCAGTGGTTTGACTTAGTGTTCTGCATTGAGCACTTATTGGAATTAACATGTTTCTTCTGGTTTCAAGTTGTTTTTCTCTCTTTTTTCTTTCCTTTTTGCAGGTGATTTACAAAAAGTAAGTCTTACAGCATCTTAGCTCTATGAACTCCTGATCTGTCAAGGGACTGAGAGGCTTATGAAGAAGTTCTGTCAAGCAAAACAGCTCTTAGCAAAGACAGCAAGGAGGAGGGAAAAGGAGAAAGAGAGAGCTGAAACAGTAACAAATCATGGTAGGTATCCCTGTCTTTCATAGGGTCACATTAATAATATTATCTGATGGTCTTGCATGGGATCTGATGAAACAAGCAAGGAGATATTCTGACTTTGCACTAAATTGGAGACGGTGTGCATACTTTGAGCAAAGCAGACGAGGTTTGATATTTTATCAGCCATTTCAAACCAGAGAGTTGTGTTACATGAATTATTAAATGTGAATGAAAGGGACGCTCCTAAGTTTTTCTAATAAAACTAGCATTAGCAAGCTGTAGCAAATAGTGTGAGTGACCTTGAACTTGCAGATTGCATAACTGAATGCTGCTATTCCCCTTCCACTCCTTGCTCACAAAAGCAAGTGTGAAATTATTCATATTTTTGTACCCGTGTATGAAAAGCTGAATGCATGTGGTCCTATGTACTTTTCATTAAAAACATAGATGAGATGTAAGTAAAGGATATGCACCAAGTGTATTTAACTAAAAAAGGAGTCATTTCTAGTCAACCTGGTGCTGCTCCCAAATTGGGAACATCAGAGATGATTAACTTTTCAAGCTGTATAAATGTGAAGGATTGTGATGGTAAGATTCTGAAGATGTGTTCACAAAAGGACAGTAAACCTACCCAGTTCTGAAAAATACTGTGGAGAGCAGTTTAAGCATGCTGATAGATTGTAAGTCCTCTTAAGCGTTATTGCTGAGAGAAAGGAAATGAGAATAAATGTAGTAAATGTTAAATACGGTTCTCTAACACTTGTATAGCTGTGGTTGATGATAGCCAGAATGTATGTTCATATTTAAGTAACTATTTACACATATATATGACCCAAGACAAGATTTTTACCTGTTATAGGGCACAAAAGGAGGAAGAACACTTGACACAGCAGAGTTGTCAATATAAAGTCATCTTTTGCTATTATTTTTGGCCTAAATTGTAATGAATAATTGATCTTGCCAGTGCTTATCTATTAGAAAAAGAACAGAAAAGTCTTCATATCTGAGTTAATAGTTGGTTGTTGTTTGACTGTTTTTCCTGATTGATATTTCATGATATTTGAGATGGTAGGGATGAATCAATAAATCCAGCTTGTCAATTTTCACTGCGGAACTGTAGCTTCTTTGTATACCCAAGCTGCAGATTAACCTCAAGAGGAACCTTCTGGAAATATTTTTGCAATCAGTGAAAAGAAGTAACACCAGACTCATTGCTGATGACTTTTTACTACTTGAACTGTCGTCGTGGGTAGGCATGAAGAAGTTAAGGAAGTAATTGTAGTGCTGACCTTTGAATGTAATAACCTAGGAAGCCATGACCTGTTGATTAACAAGTACTAGACCCAAAAGGCTTCCACATCCTTCACAGGCCCGTCTTGTGCTTGGACTTGATGATCTTCAAGGTCTTTTCCAACCTGAGCAGTTGTATGATTTTCTATGACCTGAAAAATGTGTGCTATTACAGAGTACATGCTGTTAACAAACCTACAAACTAGGGGTTAAAAACTAAAGCATTTGCAGTGTTTAGTGTGTAGGAGGACAAAGTTCTGGTTGATGATTCTAAGTTCCAGGGGACTTTCAGTAGTGACTGGCATGTGTTTAGAGAATGTTCAGAGGTGTACTTGCTGGAGATCTGTGCTGTGCAGCTGGTCGAGGTCACTGTTTATATCATCTAAGTTTCAATTGGATAGACTGTAGCAAACTGTAACCTCTTGGCACAAGTTATTTAACCAGTTGATGTGTTTACCTCCTTCAGCAGTATTACTCAGGTCTTGAAGTTTCACTACAAACTCATCACATTTTTAAGAAATTATTTTTGCATTCCTTGCCAGCTTATCCCTATCCTCGTTTTCGTTCACACCTTTGTAAATCCCAATGCAGTTTGCTACGCTGCATTTAGTAATATGTAGTGTCTAAGACTTCGTCTGCAGCAGCAACAAAACGACAGAGGAGTGGCTATTTACTTGCTTTGTTCTAAAGGGGTTGTCATTGTCTCTAACAGAAATTGAGAACAGACAGCTGCACTCCATGCATCTAGAATATACAAAGTTGTATTTAGAGAGTTGTCTCCATATTATCCTTGTCAGCCCTCTGCTTTCATCCTGGGCTACTTATGTTCTGAATTTGCCTACTTTAAAATGTGGTTACCTTTTGGAATCAAGGTGCCTAGGCTTTTCCCTTTGCTTTGAGCTATCCAGCTACTGAAGCTTGAGACAAGTCAGAAAAGGTCACTGAAATTCAGATCTAAGTTCCTGCAGGTATTGCTGGGTAGGGTGTTTCTGTAAGTACTGTTACTCACAATTTGCATCTCCTTTATATGTAGGTGCTTTGGGCAAGATTGGGGTCTAAGTGTTCTTTCACTGACTTTGAAAACCTGATCTAAATTAACAAGCAAGTCAAAGAACAAGGGAAGTTAAAGACGTTTGAAAGTGAAATGAGTTGCCCAGGACCCAAGGGATGTACCTCCAGAGCACAATTAATCTCATCCTACTGTGGACATAAACATAAATTGTGCTCCAGATGTGCCAGTATTAGCAGCCAGTATTACTGGCCAGTAAAGGCTTTTAAGCATCTAATGCTAGGTGTCAAAAAGAAACCCCACCTTAAGCCTTATACATTTTCCAGTTTAATGCTGATTCCATGGTAGTCTTTGGTGTCTGTATATCTCTCTGATAAGAAATCAGTCCTGCCAGATTGCAATACATGGTCATCATAAAACCTTTTCTTACACCTATCAGTGAGGACTGCCATTCAGGTAGTGTCTTTCTATTGATAATTGTATAATTTTGTTCTTTTTTCTCTCCTTTCCCACTCTGTAACAGAGATCTATCCGATCTTTTGCTAACGATGACCGCCATGTTATGGTGAAACATTCAACCATTTATCCATCTCCAGAAGAACTTGAAGCTGTCCAGAACATGGTATCAACAGTAGAATGTGCCCTTAAGCATGTGTCTGACTGGATGGATGAAAAGAACAAGTCTGTAAAATGTGAGGGTGATGTGGAAGCAAAGGAGGAAGCTGCAGAAAGCAATGCCAAGTGAGTGAGTTGAGCCTCATAATATGTTACTGTGCAGCTCTGAATAGGTTCCTTTCCTACTAAATAAGAGTTGTAGTGTGCTTTGATTCTGTTCAAATTGTACAAATATTCATAGGAGGAAGTGGATATATTTGCACTGCTTGAGGTGGGAACATACAGAGCGAGTGCAAGGAATAGGAATAAGCAAGATTTAGGCAGCAGTTGCTCTCTTATTTTCATGTAATGTGAAGTTGCAATTTAGCAATTAACTGTCCCAGCATTAAGCATATATACGTACCTGTAACACGTGAATGCAAATCCACAGTCACGTAGCTTAGGGACTCCTTCCATTTAAGGAACAAAAGATTTTTATAAACTTATTGTTTACTTAGCAAACCAGCTTTTCTAAGGGTCCATTTTCTTCTGTTATATTGTGCTCTGAGTGAAACATCTGTTTGCTGTATGTCCCAGTCCACTCCTTGACATGGTGCCAAGTTTTCTTGTTCTAGCATAACTCCAGTAGTTGAAGAAGAAGCTGAAACAACTGGCTCCTAATTTAGGTTTCTTGGTGTATAACTTTTTAACTCGGGCACTTAGAACCAGAACTTGGTCTTCCTGTTTCATATGTTCTCCAGCTCTGGTAAGTATTCTCTCCAGTTTGCAGATGAGCAAGTGAAGCACTAGGAGACGAACAGCAAATATGTCATGACCTGAAAAGCCTGATTTCCAGTTCTCTGCTCTTCCTGTTAGATAATACTTCTCCATTGAACTTCTCGGGACTCTAATCTGGTTACATCCATAACGTAACCTGCACTAGAGATGTAGTCAAAGGACTCTTCCAATTTCCTTTCCTATGGTGTGTGGAATATTAAGAAAGTCTGCAGCTACATGGGCTTTGCCCAGTAAGTTCTGTTCTTAAAACTGATAAATGGTGTATTCTTTATCCATATGTATTCCTTATGTTTTCTGACACCTTTTATGCTAGTGAAAGTTCTATTGTGAGGCCTTTTTTTGGTGTCCTGGTAAATAATACATATTTGAAGTTGTTTACATGTGGGGTCAGGGTGTAATGCAAACTACTCTAGCAGCAGTAAAAATACTATTGTGCTTAACTATGTACTTCTGGAGTGGAATACAATTCAGTGTGGATAAAGGAAGAAGACCCAGTCTTCCTAATTCAGAGTTATATCAGTTTGTGAATGGAAAATACATACTTGCTTCAGGTGAAAGAGACACTGATAACCATTATACTTATCAGTTATTCCTAAATTCATAGTGGGGTATCTTTGAAATGTTAAAAATGAAATGCTGCTTGTTTTGTTGTTGTAATGTGGTTCTTAGCTCTTTTCAGGTCTCATAAAACATTCAGGAAATGCAGTATGAAGCTCTGCTGTGCCTCACTATGTACTCCAATTTAGAAACAAGAAATCTGCTTCTGTATTAACTGGGAAAAATCCTTCATGGGTGGGAGGAGCAGCAAGCATTCATGAGTTGGTATCTTGCTATTTCCAAATAGCATTGTGGATTCTACAGAAAATTCCTCAAGTATTAATAGCATTTTTCTGCAGATTTTTTTTTTAGTATTTATACTCACATTTGACTATGTCTAATGCAAAGTTATGGGCCTGGGAACTATCATAAGAACTGCTTGTTCTGTGTGAAGTTTAAATGGGGTACTGCCTTCTTAGGATATACTATCTACATAGGAAATGTTCAGCTGTATGAAGACCATAATATAATAGCTTTGGAAAGTAAATGTACAAATTTACTCATTTTGATTCCTGTGGCTTTATCTTTTCTGTAATAAATATTTAACAGACACACGAGCACTGGCATTTTTATGTTAGGCTGAGCTGTGATGTATCACTTTTTTGGTGTGAAATGTATTCAAGTAGAAATAGCAAGACACGTAAATTCATGAATATTGTTACGTAAACTAATGTAAAAAATTATTTTAGACAGCCAATTGTATTACCACTGCTGAATAATTGTGGTGTATTGAAAGGCTGCTTTTCTACAGATGGACAAGTAAATGTTGTCATCTTACTGAAGAAGTTATTTAAGTTCAGATTCCCACAGAAAAAGTCTTTTTAAGTGCACTACATATTTGTTGGTTATTTTTTAGAGTTACTGGCTGTGTTTCCACATGTCTTCTGATGTGGACAACATAGGCCATGGAATGGATTCTTTAAAAATAAATTTAAAAAAGTAAAGTTCCAGGTTTGCATTAAGCACTTTTGAGACAACTGGATAGCCTTGCTATTCACACCTTTGCATGTGGTATGTTTTGTGCTTCTGCTCTATTAGAAATCTGGAGTACAGTTATTGTAAACATCCATGCATTATTTATACATATAGAACAATTTGCTTATTTATGCATTTGCTTGGGGGCAGATTGTTTTACTAATCACTTACAAGCTAAAAGGGGCAAAAGTATATTTCCCTACAATGTAAATTATCTTCATTGCTAGCTACAAACCATATTTAAAGGAATTATCTGCATCCAGATACTGGTTAAGTAGCATAGTTTCAGGCTAGAATTTGAGAGACTGTTTGCTTTTGTAACAGTAGTTACAAAAAAGCCCAAGCTTGTTTGCTTCTGGCTGTTCCAAGGATAGTGGGATTGCCACCAGACCGGCCTACTTTTCTTCTGTTTGTGCAAACACCTGTCGCAGCATTTCCACTTAAAATACTTGGGCAAAGTCTGTGAAATGGTTAGATAATGTTATTTATTGAGTGAAGCGCAGGATCTCTTAAGATCTATTTGATGATCTTGGATTACAGTGTGATATGCTTTGTTGTTTTTTTATCCAGTTCTAACCTACTGGATGGTAAGAATAACAGGAACAGGGATGCTGCCTTACTGGCTGAGATGATTTACTACTTTTACTGATTATGTGCTTTCTGTTGTTTTTGTAAGGGGGATGTGCCGCTAGTTGGTGCCACAGTATGTGGGATGAGTCGTGGCAGTAGCTGGTTTTGAACTGTCAAAGGTGCATTTCTTGCATTTTCCTTGCTGTTTATTATGCAAGTTTTATGGTTTTTCTTTAGCCTACTAAACTGGTTTTTGTTGCAGTTTTCTTCTCAATACTCAGAACTAAAATGTTCTTACATCGCTTTGCAAGTTGTTTGCTGTGGTCCTTAAATGTTCCCCTAAACATTAGCTGGGGACTGGAATCTAGTACCTAGTACTCAAACCTCTATTCCTGTAGGTTCCGCTGGTGAGACCTGTTGAAGGAATTAGGCCTGGAAGGCTTTCTGGAACCAGGACTTTTCCTGAAAAATCAGTTTGCAGGAGGTGCTAAAATTAAAATAATAATTTTTAATATAAATTTTAAGGTAAAGGTTTGAATATATGAATTAAACAAAACATTATGAAGGGCTGTGGCCTTGTTTAAACTTGGAGCATCGCTAAAAGACAGCTCAGATCACTTCTGCTAATGGGAACTCTGTCAGAGCTTGTCTAGATCAAAATTACTGTATTCTTTTGGTAGATTTGCAGATAGTTAATTTTGCTTTTTTTTTGTGCTTTGTGACTTGAGCTAGGCATCTTCTGCATTCATGTGAATTGCAAATCAATGCTTTGATTATTTTTTTCATAGGAACCACTTTTATAAAAGCATTCTATGCTTAATTTTCTGATAAGTAATATGCCACTTCAGCACTGTAATCAGTCCCATCCATTTGTCTCCTCACTGTTATAGCATAATACAAGTATTTTGAATATGTAAAAATACCATTTTAATTACTCAGAATTATTTCATTTCCAGGGATCAGAGTGGTCGGACCTTGTGTGGTGTTATGAGAATTGGCTTGGTTGCAAAGGGTTTGCTGATAAAAGATGATATGGATTTGGAGCTGGTTCTCATGTGCAAAGAAAAACCCACAAAGACCTTATTATGTATAGTCAAAGACAATCTCCCTGTTCAAATTCAGGTGAGTTAATTCAGGGTAGTCCTGTAGCAATGGCTGATAGCACTGCAAGATGTGTTTGGGTAAAGACTGTAATTCCTTCCAGGAGAAGAGAAATGTGTTAAAGATTGAAAAGCATACTTTGAATCTAGGACAACATCTCTAGATGACGACATCTCTAGTGTGTTGTTATGAAGTAGCTACTGACAAAATTTAACGTCTTACTCATGGTGCTGTCCTAATCCCTTTTTGTGATGTCAGTTTTCCTATTCTGATAGCTAACCTTTCTATTTAGTAACTAATATTGCTGATTTTTGTTCTCTGCTCCAATCACTAATGTGAGCTAATCGGTAGTCTCAGAAATAACTCCCTGCTCAAGCATGTGGTTGTTGTAGTTCTCTGCTCCCCTGCCTGAACTTTTCAAGTTCTATACAATGTAGTAGCTTTGCTTTCCTTAGGCTTCCCCAAAATAAGTGCCTCTGTACATCTGAAGTGTGAAAAAAGTCAATTCAGATGGTCAATCATTTTAGCTTATTTTATTCATCAGCTTATAATTGTTTTTATTTATGGCTATTTCATTTTAATTTTGGCATCCAGTACTTAAGAGTTAACACTGGTCTCTTTAAAGCAGCTAGGGTTAATACCTTTAAGTCCAATCCAGATTGAAACTGTTACTGAGAAACTATGCCCCAAAACATTCCACTGCAAGTGCCTCTCTCCAAACCAGATCCAAACAGGGTTTGTTTCTCTCCTGATCTGTTTTTCTGCCTTGTGTTTATTTCCACATAGACTGTATGTATTCTGCCACGTTTGACAACTGTTGGTTCTTACTGCTCCTTTGTTCACATAAAGAGATATGAGATAGTAAATACTGTGTTTACAGATGTGGCCCTGTCCATAGGTGATGTGAACTGAGAAAGGTTGAAAGTGATAAGAAAAGCTGCTGTGTGCTTGGGTTTTTTGGTTTGCTTTTTTTGTTATTGTTAGTTTTATTTTAAAGCTGAGGTAAGAGGGATCTACATCATGAAACCAGCTTACAACTATCATGACAAATAAGAGGTTTTGCAGACATGCCAGATAAGGACAGACAAGGAAGGTGTAGGTTTGTTAGTGGGCAAAACCTGCATTTCATGTACAGAGATATTAGCTTCTGCTTTGTTTTGCCTTGTAGGCTAACCATGAGCAGATGCCTAAGTGATTTCGTCTCAACACTATTGGAGTTGAAGTGCAAGTCACAACAAGAAAAGTAGTTAGATATGTTCCAATTACTAGTGTTCTAACCTCCTAATCTTGCCGGAACATACAAATACAAGGAGTTAGCTTTAGAATTAATTTGTAGTTTTCTGTGCAGATCTTAAGGGTGAGAGATACAGATCAGTTGAGATAATTTTGATGCTAGTTAGAACAAATTATTAGGCAATTTACATTAAATTCTTTTGTAGGTAGTAATTAAGTAAGAGAAAAATGTCTGAAAATAGATCACTTTAAAAAGACACCGCTGACTTACTGATGTGCTGTCAGGAGAGGAAGGTCAGGTTTTCTAGGCATTTTCAGGAATCTCTTCTGGGGCTGGTATCAGTGAGTGCACAGGATAACAGTGGAGTCTTGCATTCAGTTTCAAGTGCTGTGTGGAGAAGGGAGCAAGAGACAAAATCAGAAAAGAGTGAGCACCTTAAACCTCTGAAGAAAGATTAATATGTTGGTGTTTGGAAAAATGCAAGATGGAATGCAACTGTGAGTTTCTAAAAGGTGTCAATGGTTATTTATAAAGAGACAGGGATTCAGTACCTCCCATGGCTACCAAAAATAGTTTAAAGTGGAATCCACATATTTGGAAGTGCAGCGAGGGGCAGTTTTGTTGCAAAACAGGCCATCAGAATTGCATGTGGTTAAGAATCAGCAGAGATTTCACCACCTCTCCAAACTATTTGTTGCAATTTGAAGAGTGGCTTAGAGTTGGTAAGAAATGAACTTCGTGAGCCACTTCTGTTCTGGAGGCTGTTGTCCATGTGTGCTGACAGTTCTGGCTGTGTTGGTCATATTGCACACAAGAGCTTCTACAGTTAAGAGGGCAGCATTACTGGACAGGCATGCATTTTCTAAGACTAATAGTAATTGTGAGTATTTCCTATAATAACAGCTACAAAAGTCAGCTTCTGTCTTTTGATCAAAAAATAAAGAAAGATGTGATAATACAGTGCCCTTTGATAGGGAAGCTCCTTAGCAGTGTAATTAAATTTGCTGCAGAATATTTTTTTCAAGCATGTTACTGGGGTTTTTCAGTTTATTTTTAATGAGGGAGGCAGGGCCATAGTTGTTACTGCAATCTTTTGTAGCCTTCTCGTTACTTCAAGAGGTGTGTTGCAGGTACAGAAACCACAGTTTTTCAGTTGATTAGGAGATTCTTGAAATCTTTCTTGGTGACTTTCAGAAACTTACAGAAGAGAAGTATCTCGTGGAGGAGCATGTAAATGAGGCAGCTATTATTATTCGTAACACAAAGGAGCCCAAGCTAACCTTGAAGGTGATACTTACGTCCCCTCTCATTCGAGATGAAGCAGAGAAGAAGGAAGGAGGTACACAGAGCGTTTTAACTTGTTTTTAAGACTGTTCTATCTAAATTCTATCTAAATACCCTGACTGTGCAGCACAGGGTTAATTAGCAAGTAGGTTTTTGATTGTGTATTTTGTACTAACTAGACTGGCTATTGCCACAGTTGGTTACGTTACTTATGCCTTAAGAAGACAATAGTCACTTAATTGTCATGTAACTATGCATTAGCTTTCATTTGCAAGCAATATTGGTAGTGTTAACTTTGACACAGAATGGTATCTTAGTTCTCCTTTCTTTCAGACTTGCTAGTTGATTCATTGAGCATCCCAGCGCTGCACAGTCTTTTTTTTTCTAAATTCAGTCAGTCAAGTGGGATTGGTTTGTAGTATCTTGAAAAACTCATAGAACCGTTTCTCTTCTTATATATAATAACTTTCCTGCAAAGCTTGCAAGCATATACCCCTGACCCTCAATTTTTGTTCTTGATACATGTGTATGTTTCTAGCTTTAAGAGTTTGCTAACTTGGATTCAATGGAAGTTAGGGTCCTATAATGGAGTACTTTTGCTTCTGAATTAAATGTTGTACCTCATATCCTTGGTGCAAAATAGATTTAGAAAACTGTAACTTAGTTTCTTTCTATTCCTTTTCCCTAACTGCCTGACCTCCAATCTAGTCATAAGCCCCTTTTTAAAGAACTGTTGACTGGTAGAATCAATGAGGCTGGAAACAGAGAAATAGAGAAGAGCAAATGTAGCCATATTTTATTTTTTTAAATCACGTTAGTAATTTCTGCTTCGCTTCCCAAGCCAATCCCTAGAGACTTTGCCACTGGATGATGTCAGACCTTTGACCAACTGGCCATTCTCTGTCATGACAACTGAGGCAGCTGGGCCCATGTGGGCTAGGGAACTCCCTGTTGCTCTCTTCCCATTCTAGACTTGCCACAAGTCCTTTGCTTCCTCCCCTCTCCCACATGAACTACCGATACAATATGAAATGTTGGTCAGTTTCTCTTAATTTTTGAGGCAAGGGCAGGAAGGCTCCTTTTGAAAAGAAAACTTAGCACTCTGGCAGCAGTTGGATGCAGAAAAATCTTACAAAACAGATGAATGGCAAAGATTTCCTAATTGCAGCGTCTGTTTATTCTCAACGTAGTAATTATGCTTTTTTGCAAGACCACTAAAAAGAAACTGCATATTACTTTAGTTGTTCTTCAACTTTCCACAAGACATTGGTCAGGCTTGTTGTTTCTGCAGCTGATGGATGTTTATGAGGAGATGCACAAAGTGCAGAACAAGTTTTAATGATAAAGCATTTGTGATATGCCCACAAGGTGATAATTTTCTGCAAAAACTTCCATCCAAATATGTTCTTGCAAAAAAAATAAAGGGATGCTATTGTGGCAGTGAACTCTTAAGGCTATGGAATACCTTAAAATGAATGAGGATTATAATTGTAATAGTTTCCTATGTCGTACATACTCTATTTTTTCGAAACATAAAACTGTGTTACTGCTTCTGGAGCAGTGTTATGCTGTTATTTCTGTAAAGCTGCTAACAATAGGTAGGTAAATGGATCTTGTTTTAAAGCGCAAGTTCTTTGACACTGATTCATCCCAAGTGAAGCAAATGTATTGTCTCCCTTTATAAAAGGTATGCAAATGTTGATATGTAAATTAAAGTGGTAAATATAAATTCATACTTTTCATAATATTTGCAATTCTTTGAGTCCCTTTTACCAAGGGAAAATATTCAGAGAAATTTTCATCTAAAAATACCTCAATCTCCAAAGAAAATAGTGCCTTTTTTTTCAATACTCCTGGAAAAAATGCCAACCAAACTTAATTACAACATTGTGCAATTTTAAAAACTGTTCCAAGTTTATTCCATACTTTCTTTTTGATGAAGTAATTAAATGCTTGTCATTTTGCCTTTCATCTTTAGTGTAAGACAGGCTGCCTGCATCCAGGCATCCTGCAAGCCTCCCCCGGGGTGCAGAGGCCACACGAAACTGACCAAGGTTTCACTGTTCGGTGGTGAGCCACTAATCCTCCTCTAACCAAATCAGTGAGGTTAGGGCAATGGGCCTCTTTCTCAGTGCTCCCATCTGTTCTGTAGGAATGCTGTGTGTACCTTCATGCCCTGATGTCAGAATGTATCAAAAACATTTCTGGATTTCTCTTCAGTCCCCACCTCTTTGGAAAAGTGTTCATGTTTAAACTGTGGTGTCTGCCCTATTTGTTTTTGCTGCTTGTTAGCAAAAATAAATAGTGGACTACTGTGTGTATGTGTGCGCGCGTGCATTTCAGTGTTTCTCAAATGGCTATCCATAAAGCTCTGCTTTCTCATGTTAAGAAGATAAGCATCTAAATGCTTGCATTTTTGCTTCAGGTTAAACTGAAACTAATTTTTAGCCATAACATGAAATATCAATTGAGCTCTCCAGACCAGAATGCTGTACCTTGCAAATCAGTTCTTGCTACTCAGCAATAGTCACATAACTTTATGTAATAATAAACCAGTTCAGTTACCAAAGTGATGCTGGAATCAACCCTGCTCTGTAACTGAGCACCTTCTACATAAACAACCTGCCTTTGCTGGCAGCCAGTGATGCTCCAGAACAGAGGAACCTTGCCTCTGTGGAGAACACAGCACTCCTTGTGTGGCTGACTTAAGTGAATGAATTTGGCAGCCGATGTAAGGAGGGAGTAAATACAGCAAGTGGGGAGAGATTTACTGAAGATTGGTTCTATGCTGCAGTGTGTGAGCTGATGTCAGGCCTTTATTATTATCTACTTGTTTAAACTCCTTGTATCATTTTGTTAAAACCAGAAAGAAAAAAAAAAAGAAAAGAAAAGAAAGCTTTGCAACCACACTTGAAAAATTTTGATTGGGTCTCACTTTCCTGACTGGCAGAGCATGAAGAAACATGCCATTCTACTGAGGATGTTGAAAGGCAGTCTGCTACAAGCTCACCCTCTTCACTGCCTGTTCTCTTCATCCTCCTGTTTAATAGCACCAGAAGTTGGCTGACTGCAGCATCTGCACAAAGTACTCAGAACACTAGTACTGAAACTGTCATTAGCAAAATTCTCCAAGTTATTTCTAGTATAGCCCTTTTGAAATGGTCTTATTCCTACTGGAGAATTAAGATTTCAGTTTGCTGAAAACAGATCTTAATAGAAAAGCCTTTTCATTCACCTGAACGACTGATGACATATTCTGTCTATGGCCTTATAGTTTTAAGGCAAACAAACTTCTTTGCCACTGTTTCAGCAGTCTTGTGCAATAGACTAGCTTGGCAATGAACTGTATCTTGACAAAATCTAATGAGTTTGCAGTCAGTCACCTTTGCTATTTCTAACGTTTTAAAATAAGATTCTGATCATTCATTGACAGTAGTTGTTTTATAAAATATGTGAGCTTTAAGCAGATGTTTTTATTGTCCAAAATAAAGGATCTTTTTATGCAACTACACAGATGTACATTTAGTAATTGTGCCATGAAACAACTCCTGAAAATAAATGAAACTGCAAAATTTAGAAGCAAGCTTTGTGTTCGTAAGTGACCTTTTATTCTCACAGCAATCAAGTATCTTGAGACTGCAGCTTTTATTTGGAGAACATGCAAGAGAAGTGATTAATCTCAATATTATAATGGTGTTGTTGAGGGCAATAAGAAACAATGCAAATATCTGCTGTGAAGTTCATCAGGGTCAGAAAATAAGCTTATAGCACTTAAGGCTTCTGCTGACAGCAGAACAAGGAGGTGCAAAATGCAACTACGAACTATCAGACAAGACACCTGGTTCTGTTCAGTTTTACACTTCTTTTTTGGCTTTGGGCTCTTTTATCCATTGTAACATAATGTGCTGTAACCAGAGTAACCTTCCCACTGGTGGCACAGGAGGCGGAGCAGCTTAACATTAAAGGTGCAATTCCACTTACAAACAATACTGCTGAAAGTAGCCTATGGAAAAGTACTTATTTCAACATACAAACCAACTGTACTTTTTCTCCTAATATCCTGATATTTTAGAAGTATTTCTGGATACTGAATCCAGCATAGATTTTTGGACTGGATGTTGTATTTCATCCAGACATTTATAATCTCTCTTGCAAGCTGTAGAATTGTCCATTAGGAATGATGAAAAGGTTGTTTCAGTTTTTCCAAAATATTTACTTTGAAGAATAGTTGTGTATTCATGGGAAAACAACATGTTCAAGGTTACAGCTGAGCCATGAATTTTTCTTCCACTATGATGTTCTCATGTGACAGAAAATCTGAATCTATATGCTCTCAGATATGTACAGTCTGTCATTTGTAGAATTTCCAGAAAGTCTGGAAGCTGATTGCTCCTTTTAAGAAAAAATAAAAATGAGGGAGGAAAGGACTGTTACAGTATTCCGTTATAGAATTGGATGTGACTGGTAAGAGCAGTCCTTTGCATGCTAGATTAAAAAAAGAGGAAGAGATGTGAGAAAGGTGTAAAGCTCAACAGAAAACGTCTTGTCTCTAAAATCCTTCTTTGAATTTCATCTGTCTGTTTTTGGTTGCTGTTGAGAGTGAAGATTTTTACAAGTGGGGACTGCTTCTCACTATGTTAATAATCTGTAATTTACCAAACTTCTTTCTTTCGTATGTTTTGGTTATATGAGAGATTAATATTAAAACTGCAGAAATTTCTCATTAGCATTTCTTACATATTTCTCTCAGTGAATACTGCTAATACTGTTCAATAAAAAATATTTCAAATAAATTCAATTTTTAAAAAATTACCAACACTTGCATGGGAATAACCTCAGAGTACTTTGTACTGACTGTTTTTTTTTTTATATTCTACCCCTCTCACGAAAATCTTCCCCTTGTCAAAAGAAGCTTGTCTCTGAAATTCTGTGCCATTTTTGTGCACTTAAAAGTCACAAAGAAGGGAAAGAACAACCAAAAAAGTGCTATATAGCTGTTTTCTGCCCTGAAATGTGTTCTACATTTTTAATAAGATCCCAGATTGTCTATAGCAGTGCCATCTTTATTATTACTATTATTTTATAAGGAGCGAATGCCTTTGCTTCTGTTGCACACGTGCACATTTACTACCTTTAATGGCTTGTTTAAATTAAATAACAGTGCACTTAAATTCTGGGAGTCTTATTACCTCTTTGAGATGCTGCCGCTCTTTTTGTATTGTGACAGAAACCCCTTGGTCAAATTGTATCTGTCTCTTTTTATCCCATTTTTACCAGTAGACAGTGTTGCGATGAAAGATCCTCCGGACTTATTGGACAGGCAGAAATGCCTGGAGGCCTTGGCGTCTCTGCGGCACGCCAAATGGTTTCAGGTTGGCTATTTGTTCTTACCTTGTTGTTACTGTAGCCTTACGAGGTTTAATTTATTTAATTTTAATGCCTCTTTAATTTCTGATTAGTCCCTAGTAGAGCAAAGGCCTACAATTCCGAATTCAGTGCTGTACTGTATAAGAGCAGGCGTGACAGGTACACAGCCAACTGGTCTAGAGTTGTGAGACTGTGAAAGCAATCTTGACATTTTGCTTCCTTTTCTTTGTCTTTCTATAAATTGAAATACTTTACTTTCTGTAACTGTTCTTATTTTGCATGAGTCTGATTAAGTATTAAGTAGTTATTTAAAAAAAAAAAAGTCTATCCTGGGACTCTGTGCATTTAAAAAGAAAAGCAGAAGTGAAGGCAAGGTTTTTTGCAGGTATATTGGAACCATTTTGTTTGTTTTAGGCCAGGGCAAATGGACTAAAATCATGTGTAATTGTGCTTCGTATTCTGCGGGATTTGTGCAACAGAGTCCCCACATGGGCACCACTGAAAGGATGGGTAAGTACAAAAAAAGTTGAGGGTCAACCTGCTCAGATCTCAGACTTTTTTTCAGGACTGTAGCGGTGTCTGAACTGGGGGAAAGAGTGTGCTGTATGACATGTCTCCATTTAGCTTCTCTCCGAACTTTCCACTAACTGCTGCCTGCATAGGAATGTGCTTACAGGAGGGAAAAAGAGTATGAACATTTGTTCAGTCTATTAGGTGTGCCATTACTATGGAAAGAAGAATGACACTGTGGGGACTTGCACATGTTATGGATTCAAAATAGAATTCCCCATGTTACCTCCAACTTCAGCTATTCAAAGTCCCCTGCTACAGTGGCAATGGTGGTCCTATCAGACCACATTATTCCATGTTAGCAGGTTTGGAGAGGGCCAGGTATTATGCATGTCCAGAAAGGAACACTTCAGAGGTCACAGAAAGCAGTGTTTTCTTTCATGTAGAACTGATATCACAGAATCAAAGAATTGCATGGATTCAGAGGTCATCAAGTCCAACCCCCGTGGATATCCCTTAGAAAGGAGGAGAATATTCATGATTTGGCTGTAAAAGGCTCATCCTTATTCCCTATTCAGTTAATGGAGAGCATTCGTTTCCTCAGAAGGTAACTAACTCAGAGCAGGGAATAATTATATGTGCTGGAATGGCAGTATCTGCAGTTAGGACCGTAGTGCATTAAAACTGGAGTAAACTGATGTGAATGTTCTTCCCCTCAACATCTCAGTTTTTAACTACAAATATAGTTACCCTTGTGTCCATACTAATCGTAATTTAATGTCTTCTAGCCACTCGAGCTTATATGTGAAAAATCTATAGGTACTTGTAATAGACCTTTGGGCGCCGGGGAAGCATTACGACGAGTGATGGAGTGCTTGGCATCTGGAATTCTGCTTCCTGGTAAGGGGCTGGATTAACTTCAGGAATACAAAAGAGTTATCAGGCAGCCCTCACCCATCTAACAGCATGCTGCTGCTTGCTGTATGATTAGGTGAAAAATGTCTACCTTGTGCTCCCTGCCTGCTGTGGAACTAAATTAATGACTTCTTGTTTAAAATTAGAAGACAAAAGGAAGGTTGCACGGTTGTAATTGCTTGAATGAAGTACTTCCAATGCAGTTAGGAGTTCATGGGGAATCTCAGAATGACCTGGGTTGGGAAGGACCTCAAAGGTCATCAGGTTTCAACCCCCTGCCATAGGCAGGGTTGCCAAACACTAAATCAGGCACTAGATCAAGTTGCCCAGGCCCCCATCCAACCTGGCCATGAACACCTCTAGGGAAATGCTAGGTTTGCATATAAATAGACTTCTATTTCATTAAGGGGTTACATATAAATACTGACCTAATGACTACTTGCTTTCTATTGTTAAACTGAAATCAGCATGGCTACCCAAATCATTACTGTTATTAAACCTCCTACTTTTAGTTCACACAGTTGTACATATACTTTTTTTTTTTAACAAAGATTAGTACTGTGGCCTCCTGCTTCAAGGGTTAGCTTGCTTTCTATGATATTTGAATCCCTTCGTGGAAAAGGAGCACTGCTTAAGATAGAGACCAGCACATGAAAAATCCAGTAGTCCCTATTTTCATATTGTTTCATGTTTACTCCCAGTAATCTCCTTTATCTTCTTCCTTCACAGGAGGCCCTGGTCTGCATGACCCCTGTGAACGGGAGCCAACAGATGCTCTGTCTGATATGACAGTTCAGCAAAAAGAAGCCATTACGCACAGTGCTCAGGTACAGAACTCATACTAAAGAGCTAGATGCTATAATACTGAAGATTTCAACTAATTAATTCAATTTATTCTCTGACAGGTTGGCATATTTTAAAAGCAGTCCTGATGGTTCTTCTAGTGCCCTACAATGAGAAGATGAAATGATATATTATGAGTGCAAGAGTTTAACAGAGATGAAATAAATCCTTTAGCAGCCCACTGTGTGCACACCATCTGCATCCTATCTCAAGTGCTCACAGCCCAGAGTCCTAGAGTAGGCTCCCTGTCAGTGTGGCCTGTACTCTGTATTATGGAAAAAAGAGTTTTAGATTTTTATAAATAAACATTTTTCTATAGCTGTCATTCCGCATAAAAGGAATGACCGTGTTTGCAAACCTAGTTAGAAATGTAGACAACTGTGGAAAAAACAGTGCTGTGATGTAACTTTTATTTCTACTGTCATTTGTAGCATGCTCTCAGATTATCAGCCTTTGGTCAGATTTATAAGGTTTTGGAAATGGATCCCCTCCCGTCAAATAAGTCATTTCAGAAATACTCCTGGTCAGTAGCTGACAAAGAAGGTAGGTATTGTTTGCTCCAAAAGTTACTAATTTGGAAGTAAACTAGGAATTAATGTAGAATGAACAAAATTCCTGAGTTACATGCTATAAACGTAAGGCGAAAGCTTTCCTTTATGTTAAATTTGTTTGTTTTTGTCTTTTACCTAATTATTTGTTGTTAGGAGAAAGCGTGGAAGTTCTCCAGAACTACCAACAGAGTAGTAGCAGTACAGCTAGGGTATGGACAATTTTCCTTAAGCACAAAGTCATTTTGGGACTAAAAGATAAATAGTAGTTATGATTCTTATGATGGGGAAGGGGAGAATTTAGACTGATGAAAAAGATATAATGAATGTCCGTAACAAGAATTTCATTACTTATATGGCACATAATATTGGAAACAGACATCTTCCATGGCTTATACAATGAGTAATAAGCTACTGTTGGTCCACATGTACAAATAAGAAAGCTCTGACTGAAGGGTTTTTTTCATAGTTATAAACATGGAAAGAACTGTATGGGACTCTTGTGAATCCTGTTACGGAATTTTGTTTTTCTAATAGTACATTCATATTAAAACGGAATTTATACCCTAGGTACAGGCTCATCTGCTCTCAAGAGACCATTTGAAGATGGTGTTGGGGATGATAAAGATCCAAATAAAAAGATGAAGCGTAATCTGAGGAAAAGTAAGTGCAACACTTCCATTCTGTTTTCGGAGATACACCGTACAGTAGGAACTTCTCTATAGTGGTGGAATAGCATGTGAAAAAGTCTTCGGAACAAAAAATGGTGTTGCTATTGTCCAGCACTGTAAGTGTTACACAGTTCTTACTGTGTATTTGGATGTCTCCTGACATGTATTAATAACTCAGTCATTTGTGTTTTAAATGGAATAACCTGTCAGGTCATGGAAAAATTTAGGTTTCCTAAGTGATTAAAGTATTTTATTGATGAATTCCCTCTACTGATTTTTCCCCGTAATACTGCAGTGTGAAGATTTGCCTTGCTGCACTCCCTTCTTGAGATAGCTACTGGTCTCTCAATAGCCTCCCACAAGAAGAACATAAAATGCTTCATCTACAAAACATTGACATTGAATTTATGCACAGAATAAAAATATCTCAGCGTTGAGGATATCTATATCTAGAGGATATCTAGGAATATCTAGAGGATATTTTGATTGTGCTGCCATTGGTGCCAGTTCTGTGTCTGGTTCTTCGCTACTTACAAAACTTTTATTATAAAGGCCAGGAAGAATACAGATAGCTGTAAGAGTTGTTTTCATTTTAAAATATGGATAATTATACTTATCCAAACGTGAAATAGCTTATTGCAGACATAAGTGTTGTGACTACCTTTGATCTTCAAGAGCATGGAAGGTTGTTTTGCACCTTTATACCGACAGAATGCACTTAAATGCAAACTGATACAAACTGTTTTGTTTCTTTATTCATCCTGTTAATCTCCCTCTTTTCTTCTCCCCCCCCCCTTAGTACTAGATAGTAAAGCAATAGATCTCATGAATGCTCTGATGAGGCTGAACCAAATCAGGCCGGGGCTTCAGTATAAACTGCTGTCCCAGTCTGGTCCAGTCCATGCCCCAGTCTTCACAATGTCTGTAGATGTTGATGGTACAACATATGAAGCATCAGGACCTTCTAAGAAAACAGCCAAGCTCCATGTGGCAGTGAAGGTAAGGCAGCCTAAAGTAATCTGCTAACCTCAGATCTTGGAACACAGAGCATGAAATATGATTGTCAGAACTAGTAATGCTAGTGAAATTCAGTAATAACTGAGTGAGGCTGAGTTACTACCTATGTAATCAGAATGTGGTTGGGCAATTGGATGAAAAAGCATCACTGATTTTAGAAGAGTGGAGAGGAACAATGTGGAATGAAAATCTCCCATGGCTCTACGTGTAAGCTCATGGACTGAATGTGGTATTTAAGTTCTGCATCAGCCGTGGGAGGGGTGTCTGTATGTCAGTTTTGTTCTACTTCTTGCTCTTGTTTATTAGAAGACAGCATGTTGGTGGCTCCTTCTTTGACCCCTTTCTTCTCCAAATCTCTCCATTCACGGACAGTTAGACTCCCTGAAACAAGGAGCTATTTCCTGTCTTCAGTGGTAAACACTATGCATAATGATTGGTCTCCAGTCAGTTTTTCAATAAGTGACTAAAATACAGTCACTGGTTGACTGACTTCTTGTAGGTGCTGTACACTGGCAGATTGTTTAAAATCTTGTATTTTAAACATCAGTAGACTGGAATGCCCAATGTGAGTACCTTTACTGCACGACAAGGAGGTAGTTGAGATGTTAAAGCAGACCAAGTCTATTGGGTTTCTGGAAAAGGGCAGTTTCTTTCACATTAATTATCTGTAGGAGAAACCTCTTAACTGCAATTATGATAAAAACAAGTGCATCTGTCTTTTCTGTGTTTCATTTTGTGTGTTTTTAAGAACTGCATTTTTCAGAAGCTTCATTTGGCAGCTTTGTGCTCTCTTGATTTCAGTATTGAAAATCCCATTGTCCTTTGTGCTTTCAAGTTCAAAGTGTACAAAAGTATCTGAGGGAATGTGTTGTTCCTCTTCCTCAGGAAAGGCAACTCTGCATGTGTGTCCTTCCTGACTTTCTTCCTCGTACCTTTATTTTACCTCGCTCCCTGCAGTTGTTTGCAGGGAAGTAAAAGAGAGGGAGTGGGGAGGGGGAAATAAAGCTTGCTCTGAAGGGCTGTAACTTCTCTGCCCTTGAACTTCTCCGTTTTTGACAGATCTTTGCTGTTATCTACCCAGCTCTGTTCTCTATCTACACACACATATTCTGGGCTGCATTTAAAAACGTCCCTGATTCAAGCCAAGGACAAATGGATGGTGCGGCAGACTAGCTTTCCCTGGCCGCCAGCACCCAACCCTCACTATCCCCCCTAACCCCCAAGCAAATCTGGGCCCTGTTTTCCCGTACTGAAAAGGGAGCTTACTCTTAATGCTTCAGTTTCTAGATCTGATCTTTCTAAAAACTAGGAGCCCTGAAAATTCAGCTAAATGTACAGCACAAAGAGACAAAAATTTCTGTTTGTGTTGATTCTACTTCTGGAAACCTGGGACTATTTTCCCTATTGCTACTCTCCTTTTCTCCATTTCAAGATAGGAGAAAATACATTTTCTAAGCAGTGTGTCTTTACTAAGTGTCTGGTGGCTGTTCTTACTGTTGTGATTAGCTTTCTATTTTGTTTTTGTTTCTGTACTATTACCTATTTTACAGTCAATTACCTGTATTTTCGTTGTAGGTTTTACAAGCAATGGGTTATCCAACTGGTTTTGATGCCGATGTTGAGTGTGTGAGTTCTGATGAAAAATCAGATAACGAAGGTAAAAACGAAACAGTGTCTTCAATCTCAAGCAATAATACTGGAAATTCTACAGCTGACACCTCTGCTACCCTAGAGGTGAGTAGTCCATAGAAAAGTCAAAGTGATGAAGAGGTATGGTGGGTTTTTTTTGTTGTTTCCTTCTTTCCTGTCCTGGAAGAGGATGACATATTAATTAAAGCAGTAGTTGAGAAACTGAAGAGTTCCCAGGCTCAGACCTGCCCTGCCATTGGCTGTGGACCGATAATTTGATCTTTGTGCTTCTTTTTCTGGTGGAGTATCCATATTGTGCTCTTCAGATCATAAATTCTTTTTGATAGATGTTCTTTACTACTTTGCTCACATACAGTCCAAGGAGCAGAACAGCATTTTGTTTGCTACTTTTTGGTCTTAGTAATGGAAATCTGGCACTTTCTCTTCTATAATAGGCTTGTCAAAAAGGTATGGTTCTGTAGACAATAACTTAATGATACATCTGTGTGACCAATAAAAATATTTATTTTAAAAATTCATTAGGAGATGTTAAGAAGCATAAGCCTAATACCTCTATGCATATCAAATGACTTGGAAAAAGCTGCACTGAAAAGGAATCAACTTCAGCATAGTCGATGTTAATTTTGCCACTTGTACCTAAGTCAGTTGCTATCATGAAGAAAGCTGTGCTTGTTTTCTCACTGAAGTTGTAAAAAATACAGTATTCCTCAAATAAAAAAATTCCAGTAATTTTAGCAGTCCTGACTGAACATCTCTGAAATCATGGTGGGCCTCTAGTATATATTCCTAGGACTAGGACTCTTGATACTTATCCAAAATTAGAACTTGTGCTTGTAAATTTCTCCCAATCCATTGTTCTTTACTAATGAGTGGTCATTTGCACCTGTAGCTGAGTGCACTATAAAAATGCAGGCTCATGTGTTGGTGCACTTAGATCTAAGCACAATCTTCCTTGCTTCCAAATATATTTGTTTCAACATGTGACCTGTGCTGAAACTTCTTCAGTCAGGGCTCTCAGTAGCACCAGAAAGTAATTAGATCAAGCAGCAGAGAAGTGTGCAAGGTTGTGAAGGCCAGCGTCCCCTGTATCAGCATTTGATTTCAAGGAACTTGACACCATGACTTCAGTCCTGGATACTTTGGGGGTTTAAATTCCAAATGCAGCTGATGTGATGCTTGGTGGTATGTAGATACCAGACTAGGCTCTGAAGCCACTAGCTTGCTATCACGCTAGAGAAGAGACTTTCTATCTGCTGTTCTAGTGCATCATGTTATCAAGGCAGTGTTATCTTTGATACAGATCTGCTCCTGGAAATTCTAGTGAGAATTCTAATGTATTGGGAACAACTACTCTACAACTACTGCAGAGGCTTTAAAAATTGAAAATGTTGCCAAATGGCTGACCACTTGACACTGTATGCTATAATGCTGCAGATACTTGTCCACTGTTTGAAGACATAAGGCTCTAAAGCAACTCCATGAATGTCTCTTTAGGTAAGAACTCAGGGTCCTATACTGACAGCAAGTGGCAAAAATCCAGTGATGGAGCTCAATGAAAAAAGAAGAGGTCTGAAGTATGAGCTCATCTCTGAAACAGGTGGAAGCCATGACAAGCGCTTTGTGATGGAGGTGAGCAAAACAGAATTGTAGAGTTGGTAAGTGGTTTTACTAACAGTGCTTCAGTTCTTGGAGTTGCTTGTTGCTACAGTTTAGATTTCTTTTGATTTTGCTTTTTGTATCTCTTACTGCTCCCCTGACTTGCAGAAGGGAATGTCTTGTGCTTTAGGAAAACAAAATGAGGATTAAAACTGAACTCTGAAAGCCCTAAACCATATTATATCTTGACATAAGTAGGAGAAAAAGTAAGATCCACAACCTGGAAAACAAGAATATCTGATTAACAAGCATTGCAAAACATGCTTGGTAAACTCACAGTTTGAATCTTCTGTTGTCATCTTAGTAGTATTATTTGAAATGACTGGGAGAGATTAAATTTGTTTGTCTTCACCTACTTCTGCTATATTTGAAGTAGCACTGACCTTTAGGAGGGGTATGAGGTAGCACTTCAAATAAATAGTGTGAGTATAGTGTTAGCAAAGATGTTGGTATATGAAGCGTTGTTAGAGATGAGGGGGGCATCAAAATTTGACTCCAAAATCCCATTTCCAAGCAGCATCACTTCTTTGTTGAATTTAAAGCATATTGGTTAAATTTATTATCAAATAGATACATTGGTCCTTTTTAAATTCCAGTTGTAGTTTCTAGGTTCCTGATTCAGTGATAACAGTGTGGTTCATGCAATCACTTCAGTATTCTTTATGATGTTTCAGAAGCAACAGAGTTCTTGTTTTTTAACTACTGAAGCTGTCTCATCGCTGACCAGCAGGTATAGCATGGTATTCCCAAGGGTATATAATAGACATAAACTCTTATCTCAATTCTCAGGTAGAAGTAGATGGCCAGAAATTCAGAGGTGCAGGCCCAAATAAGAAAGTAGCAAAAGCAAGTGCTGCACTAGCAGCACTTGAGAAACTGTTTTCTGGACCCAATGCAGCAAACAACAAGAAAAAGAAAATTCTTCCTCAGGTAAGAGTTGTTGCTTGCTTTACATTCTGTTACCACAGCTCTGTGTCTTTTATGATACAGGAGTCTCTACAGGAAAGTAATTTCAGTGTTTTGTCTTATGGGCTTGCACGCAGTAAGGCTTCTGACTTTTATTCTTTGACAGTAACTACAGTAGCATAACAACACTGTATGATATTTGGTACCACACTGTACTAATTGCCACTATGAAATGTTTTCATATTATTAAGGAGTTTAAGCTGAAGGAAATACAGTAGAAAAGGTGGCACAAAGAGGTGGTGATGAGCTGGAGAAAATACAGTAAGTTCAGTGGTTTAGTGATAACACGGAAATGTATACTTTGTCAGAGCATACTGTGCTACTCCACCACTTACATACATAGACTTAGAGAATTAATCACGTACAGTTTGGTAAAGGCATTATTTCTAGGTTCTGGAATAGGCTGAGATTTCTGTATCAGACTTTGCAAATGAGACATTTCACTTAGTGAGGAACACTTCTAAAATTTAAAAAAAACAAATGAAGAATAATCTTGGTCTTGTCCATTAGGTTTAACAGCCCCAGTGATCACTCAAGTTTAAGGCTGAACAGAGCAGAAACTATCAATAGTGTCTTTCCTACTGAGAACTGCTGACAGAGGAGGAAAAAAACCAAACAAACAAAAAAACAAACCATGAGGATTACCAATTACCATCTGGGTCTCTTTTGTACAAATACATTAACATTAGGATTTTCTTGCCATTTCAGGAGCAGAATGTATCATAAAATAGACTTAAATGGCAAGTCAACTCTTTTTGTCTTTGTTCTATTGCTAATCACAATCCTCCTCATTTTACTAAGACTTTTGGTTAGGAGTATTTCAATTTCCATTACTGTGCTGAAAGTTTACAAGATCAGAAAAACACTACCTCATAGGATAATGTTCCACAGGCAGCTGAGATACGAAGACTTATGATTCAGGCATTTTCTAAATTGACTTTTTTACTGTTTTTTTTCTTCTTCTTCTGTGTTCACTTGTTCTCTTTTTTGCAGAAGGCAATGATGGCAATAACTTCTCTTTGAATTAACAGGATATGCATGATTTTACAGTGTTTCTAGAAGACAGCCAGGGGGGCATCTAGTAACACAAAGCTCTGCTGTGGTGCAGTAAGCAGTGACAGCTTCTGCAACTCCTTGCAGTATTCTGAGATCTTTTGACAGTGGAAAAGAAAATGCTGATCTAAAGCAGTCTAATGTTTCTGTGAGGAGGTTATTTGTCTTTGCAGTGAAGTCCTGACCCTGCTGAAGATACATGGATTCAGGGTGGTAGAAGAAAAGCAAAGGCCTTTTTGTAAATCAGTGAGAGGCAGTTTGTAGGGAAAGACAGCAGAGAGGCATACCAAAGAAAGGTGCAGAAACCACTGGGGTAGGTCATGACCACCAACCAGAACTCCAGTAAATGAAACATAGATCAGGCTGAGTAAGTTGAACACAATCCTGATTTAGAACTAGAACATGTTTGCTGAAGGGACTCAGTTTCTGTCAGTCATTCTTTTGACATTACTTTTCCATTCTGTACTCTGCCTTAAGCAAGGACAGTGCATCATGCATGGTTAAAGAGATTCAGGAAAGACAGTGATTTAATGTAGATGGCCCTGTATTTCCAGCAATGTTTTAACATTCTGAATTGGTATTATTATCACTCCAAGCAGACTAAAGGAGTTGTCAATACAGCTGTTTCTGCAGCAGTCCAGGCTGTGCGAGGTAGAGGACGAGGTGCTTTAACAAGAGGTGCATTTGTTGGGGCAGCCGCTGCTACTGGATACATAACACCAGGTAAGGCATGGCACAAATAGGTAATACTTCAATTCTGCCTGCTGGTGTCTTCCATTCTGTGTGTTAGTCACCTATTCACTTCAATCATCTGAGATAAAGCAGAAGAGAGAATTCTTGGGGCTTTAAATAAATCAGAGCTCAAAAACTGGCAATACTTATCCTTCACAAGTCTGCAACCTGGAACTCCATGTACACAGAGTGAGAGAAAACAGCTATCCCCACAATGGCTTTCTGGGCTTTATTCTGTTGGTTTTTTTTTTTTTCCATAGTTCTCTGCTATGGCACAATTTCCAAAGCTTTTTTCCTAAGTAAAGAACCTCTTGGATCATGGACCGTTAGCATTATGAGTGGCCCTCTTAAGATAAATCTGGCAGGATTAGGAGTCACTGTGATCCCAGAAGTTGTCCATTCAAATTTGGCATACAAGCACAGCTTCTAACATTACCTTCTTTAGTGATTAAAAATAATTAAAAGAGTTTCCATTTGTACTCTGGCTGATGTTAATTTATCATCTTAGTTGTACTGTTCTGGTTAGCTGAGAGCACTGGATCTTTTGGATTCTAGAGGTCTCGTAGTTCACATTTATGTGTTATACTTACTGTATAGAGAAACTGAATTATTAATCAGGGTACCTTACTGCTGATTTTTCAGGGCAGATTTGCAACCATCAGAAGCAAAATTGTTTAAGCTACTAGTGACTCATCCAATATAGTGATGGATGGTTGGTTTGTTTGTTTAACCAACAGATTGCAAGCAGGTTCGAAAGACATGCAGTGTAAAGTGTTACAGAACTGCAAGAAAATTTTAATATTCACTTTCTCTTTTTCAGATTATACTATGAGTTTTAATTTCAGCTATGCACACATACCAATAGCAAAGCCCTGTTGTTTGGTAGACCTCCTTTCAGGCACAGTAGAACACAGTAAAACAGCATGGTATCTTCATTGTTCCTGTATGTTGATGTAATCATAAATATTAAAAAAACAGTAATTCATTTTTAATGGCTGTTAACATTCGTTTTGGAACTGTCTTTCTGCCTGAGGAGTCATTTATGAGACACTTGAATCTGTCAGGGGCATGTTCTTTGCCAGCATGGAATTACTCCAGAAATAGGTTTACTTTCCCAGTCATTGCAGTTGTTAAGCTTTTATTGGTCTTGGCCGACACAAAGTATTTCTCTTCATCCTCTTCTCAGAAATCTGTTGCTTTTTGTGATGGACAAGTGATCACACCAGATAAAGCAGGTGAGGGACACAACCTGTAAAGCCTCAATCAATTATTGAGATGTTTTTACTAAGATTGGTGTTATGCACTGTTTCTGTATCTCACTCCACAGTAATGCGTACCTCTTTGGAAAAAGGTTCCTGTTCTCGGTTTGCATCTAGATGTTCAGATGTTCTTTCTGAAACTTTCTTTTGGCTGCCAAGTATCAGAAAATGCTGAATTCACATAGGAACTTCCATGATAATGACGTCATCTGTCACAGGCATCTAGCATTACCTTCCTTTTTGTGAAAGTTGAAGAAAAGCTATGTACCAGAAAGGGTACTTGTGTTTTGGTGTGCAAATACCAACTGTCTGCGGTTACCAGGGGAAATGAAACGCATCCCTCATCTGTTTGTATTGCAGGCTATGGAGCACCATATGGGTACAGTACAGCTGCACCAGCTTACGGTACGTATAGCCCACTAATTAACAAATTAGAAAATATACAGAAATTCTTGTGCCAGTCCAAATGTGGCAGTCCAAGCTGGCTTAGGGTTTACAGTAGAAATTTAAGAGATTAAAACTCTTAAACGATGACTACAAGAACACTTCTATGCCATAACCTTGTGGTTCTTTTTTGGTTGGAGTAGCTTTTTTGCCTATGCTTTGCCTGATCTTGTGGAAGGACTGCTTGTTCTAATTGCCTGTTCCCTCTCATACTGAAACTGAAGTAGTTTTCTTACTTTTTACAGCCAATCTGTGCTCCATTCAAAGACTACCGAAGGGCCTATGTCAGCATCTCTGAGCAATATTTATCTAAGTGACATTAAAATCATTGGCAAAATATTTGTCTACAAGTTTAACTGGCTTGTGGACTAAGCTCCCTTAATATACAGTCAACTCCATGAAATACCTAGTACAGTCTAAGTCTATGTGCACACACAAGCCAATCCCCAACACGCACATCCTCTTGCTGCAGGCTAAAACCACTGCTATCTGGGACAAGCAGAATGATTTTGTGTAGCTCATGCTGTGATTAGGCTGCAAGGATGGTAGTATATGGTCATTTGCCACAATGCTTTTTACTAAGAAATGCAGTAAAATCAGGCTGGTAAAGGATTGGTTTCATGAAGACAGTAAAATAAACTAAAATTTAGCAATGATGGGAAAGGTTTTTCTTACTTCAACTTCTCCCTACCCACCTTTTTTTTTTAATGCTAGACTAACATAGCATATTTACCTCTATCTGGCCCTTTTGGTTACTTTGAATGAGGTTTATGTGGCAATGGGAGCAAAGGAGTTTGGAGTCAGTGATATGTCCTGGCACGCAAAAAAACCAAACCCTGCATCTACTAGAACTGGTACCAATGTCCGCACTTGTCACGGGGCAGGAGGGAAATCCTGCTACTCAAATGACAAGCTGGGTACATTTCAAGGTCTGCAGTTTTTTTTCACATGGGAAACCAAGCTTGCGTTCCTATTTCCTAGCTTTTGCAGTATTTATAATACTTGTTTCTTTCCAATTTGTATAGCTTGGAAAATACCAACTCCCCAGATAGCATTGTAGAAGTTAGAAACAGTTTCAAATATTTAATTCATCACTTTCTTTTAGAGATATGAGCTATAAGAATTGGAAGAATGGTGCTGCTTTATTGAAAAAGTTCACTTTGCTTGACTAAGACTAGCTGGTCCTATTCTATACTTCTACAGTGGGAAGGGGAAGTACAGTGGACAGAAGGCCGCACTTACAAGTGTGGAATTCTCCCTTGTAAATTCAAGTAAACCTCTCTAGCTCTGCAAATCCTGTCTCAGTGACTGACCAGGTGCTTTGAAAAATGGCAGCTGACAGCTGTGCTTTCCTATTGAGTGTATTCTGTACACTGTCCTTTTTTTCATGCTTTTTCAAGGGAAAATAAAAGGAAATTAAGTTTATAGCTTATTTCATGGCATGCATTTAAAAAAAAAAAAAATCCCTTTACTTCTTTCCAGCCTGTAGTGACTGGCTATAACCTACGTCAGTAGATACCTGCCCATATGTATTTTTACAAGCCAGAGCATATAGTGACATAACACAAATTCTTTCCCAGCTGAGGACAGAACAACTGTTACCAGTGTTCCTGCAGTATGAGTTTTACATGCGGCTTCTTATATTCCTTTCTTCGTTCTTTCTGTTTCATGTTTTTCTCATGATGCTTATTTTGGGAGCTGGATTTTAATCACTTATTTGTGTATATGTGACATATCACTGACTTCAAAGCATTGTGGAATTGGATGCCCCCATTTTTCACATAAAGAGTTTCTGTTTTTAATGTCTTATGATTGTGATGCGAAGTACTGGGATAATGCTTTTTGGCTGTAAGGTAAACGTCTCTCTGCCTTTGTAAGCTGTTGCATGTTGGGAATCTTCACTTTGATCATTTGATGCTCTGGAATACCTGCTGTTGCTGCTTTGTGATTTCTAAATGGATACGTAGGTTAAAAACTAGTATATAAATAGGAAAGAATATTTTTAAAAAGCATTTAATTGTGCAGAAGCTTGTGAGGCCACAAGAACTCTACAATAATCATGAAATCAGGCATATATCTTTCCAGACTTGCAACTTCAATACAGGATAGCAAATGCAAAATATAAAGAAGATGATACAGAATTTACTGTAGGTGCTTGATTTCTGACTGATCTACATAGATGCTTATCAGAACTGCAGTTTCCCTGTGAATTTTCTTCTATGCGTAGCAGTTCCTGTCTAGAATATCTGCAGTTGTAACTGGGCTATGAAGTTAGAAAACAGAATGAGGTAGTAGAGATGAAGCTATTTCAAAATGATAGTTAAAATCCAACCTCTTTTCAACAAAACACATTCTCTTTTGAGAATACTGCTTAATTTTACAAAATACAGGGACAAAAATAAAAACAAACTTAATGCTAACCATCTGTTTGAAATAGCACAAAGTGTTGAAATGTTACTGTTTGAGACTCTGCACCCTAAAATGACATCGATTGATCTGGAAAAGGTTAATGAAAACGTGATTATAAGCTCTTATCTGACTTTCTTGGATCACTGAACTTATTTGGAGTCCTCTCCCTTTTTTCTCTCTGTAGGTTTACCCAAGAGAATGGTTCTGTTACCAGTTATGAAATTCCCAACTTATCCTGTTCCCCACTACTCATTCTTTTAGCAAATGGCAGAAGCTAATTCCTATTGATTGAACAACACAGTACAGTACAGAATGTTAGAAGAAAAAAGCCTTTTTATCCTGTTTCCTTTGAACACATACTTGAGCAAAGTCATTTGTAAAGAAACATCTTTTTCCTACTTTTTGATTTTAACAAAATGCAAATTTAGTTCTCTAAAACTTGAAAAAAAATGTTCTGTGAAATGTTACCTCATTTTCAAATAACTTATACCAGCCTTCTGTTATAGGGAAGAACTAGAAGCTTAAACCTTACGTTTTAAATGAAGTATCCAATTATGTAAAATTAAATTTGTGAAGGATGTATAGAATATAAAACACTGATCACAAATAAACTGTTTTGTTGTAAACAAGAGTACTGCCTGTTTCCTAATGCAGTTGCACAGATTCAGTTAATGACCTGTACTTGTTGTAGGGTTACTTAAAGTAGGGCATAGTTCTTTAAAAAATAATAATAAATTTAAAAAAAAAACAAAAAAAACAAAAACCAACAACCACACAACAGAAACTTCACAGTTAAAATACAACTTTGTAAATATTATGGTCTGTAATAAACTTAGTAAAATATGGGTTAGATATTGTTTTATCTTATTTTATAGAGCTAAGCATCAGTACCTGAGTTTCCTTAGAACCTTTAAAGTCACCATACTGAAACTCTCAGTGACTTCAGACAGTCTTAATTATCCAAGAAGACTTTTCACTTGTATACAGAATACTGAAAAGCAAACAAAGGGAATTAATCTTAGACTGTCTCTTTGTGTTAGGTTACATTCTGTGGAAAAACAACAATGGAATTTCCCACAAAAGGACTCATTATGTAATTACAGCTATACACAATTAAGTCCGTATTGCCCAGAGAAAGGACAATGATAACATTACAGTCAGATTCTCTAGAACTCAAAAACTGCTTGTTTTCCTTTCGTTTTTTACAAAAAAAAAAAAAAAGAAAAAGAAAAAAATGCAATTGTTCTTGTGGCCTTCTTCACTCTTAAGATTGTCTGCCCACCCTTGATTTTCCATTCACTATTTTTTCAGTAAGGGTTTTATTTGTTAATCTCTTATGAAAACAAAAGGTTCTCCTTTTTCCCCTTACATTTATAAGAATCTAAAGCAGCAACAAGGTCCCCATGAAAACTTGCTATTTAATTGTCCCAGTTCTTGTTGAGTGCTGCTGTGGAAAGTGACACACTTCAGCCATAGGCCAGTACTTTTCTTAAGAGTTAGTGCTCAAACCAAATGAATTCTTTTTCAGATAAAGGAGCATGCGCACCTGTCCTGGAATCCCAGACAGGTCCCAGCTCCATGCTATCTCCACGTATCTTAGAATTATGTAGAAAACCTGCTGTAGGCTTCAAGTAGTCTTTATTAAGGTATCACCCCCACAAAATAAGCAGCACTGCCATTTGTACTTCTCAGACCTCACCAGTTGTTTTTCCAGAGGTTTGCTTTAGGTCATGCTCTTTTCAAGACTGTCAGTATGCACTGTTCCCCAACAGACTTTGCTGTTGAGGCAGAGGGGTGCTTTATTTATGAAGAGGATCTAAGAACTGCTTAATGCAATGTAAAGTTCCTCCTTTCCTCCATCCCCTCCATTATAGGGAAAGAAATTACAGAACAGCTTAATAAGGGGTGGCTTATATAACAAGCTGCTCTTCTTGGAATTAACTGCAGCTGTTAAGCTAAGTATTTTGCTTAGAAATATTTCTATCTTAAATGTTTTTTCTTCTGCTGTAGCTCTCACTTTTGTTTGGTGCTGGTGGTACTTTAATAAAAAATGAAGATCTACTGACAAGCAGCAATGAGCCTGCTGTTGTCATACGTGCATTAGTGTTGAAATAAAGAGCAGGGTCTGGAGGATGTAACCAAACTGAGTGGTGTTCATAAATCACCAACATGTTTTGCTGGCCTATGGATGAAAGGAAGCCATCACGGAGCAGAAAAAGCATGGCTGATAAGAGCCCATTTTTGTTAATCAAATATTCATTAAAGGAATATTTCCTCTGCACACGTTTTTCCCCTTTCCCTCCCGCCCCTCCTCCCCCTTGGCCCCTGTTTTGGAGTTCCCAATTGGCAACTGTTTTCTTTTTCATTAATCCCCAGATTTGTAAAATTTTCTAACAAAATAATGTCTGAACCAATTGTATACAATAAACATTTGTATACCAAAGAACTTGTTCCTTATTTCAAAAACAAGGAGGGCGCTATGCTCTTTTCCAACATGATGGCAGTCATTTCAGACAATTGATAAGTCTTTTTTTTTTTTGTCATTTGTTGGGAGTTACTAACCACATTGTAAACTTGCCCCCCTTGCTGCATATTTTACATTTCTCTGCTTTACTGGAAATATGAATGAGCTGTTAGTTCTTTGTTTAGAAAGTGGTAACCTTGGAAAGTGTTAGATGTTTCAATACCTTCACAGAATTCAAAGTGCCCATATTACAATGAAAATTCCACTTGCAGCTGAAAGAGCAGAGAAATTTAAATGGAGCTTTAGCTTCAGCCACTCTCTGAAATTAACATGAAGTTTTGCTTCTCTGCTCTTTTCCCACTGTAGGTGGTTTTTTCATTGACAGTCCCTATTGCCAGCCTCTCAGCATCGCACCTTTTATTATTCACTTGGGCCCTCAAGATTTCTTCTCTGACTTCTAGAACCATCAGGTTGTGTGGCTCGAAATGGCATTTTGTACATGTCTTAAAAGCAAGAACAAAAGTGGCTCGTTTTGAGGTTTCTCAACTTCAGACATGGAATCTGAACTTTTTCCTTTTTTTTTTTCCTTCCAAAGTGCTTTTCTCACTTCTTGAACTTTGTTCCATTTAATGAAAAGCAATATTCCAAGCCACAGTCCTTTCTTTGGGTACATAGCAATAGATGTGTATATACTTCTGGTTATTTTCTTTACATTAGAAGGGAAAGACTGGCCTAGAAGGGGTGGGATTAAGGGGGAGGGAAATATAAAACAAGACCCAGAAGGGCACTTGCTTTAAGCAGAGAATCCTGCATTGACTTTCCCTACTTCAGTATTTTAGAATTTTAATACTATGGTTATTTGCATGTTTCCTATACAGACTGCTACAAAGACTTACAGTGGTCACTTCTGAAGCAGTAGTGCTTTGTACCATTGTACATGTCAGCAGACATGAAATGTAGCAAAAAGCCAGGAAAATATAGTATATTTTTCTCCAAAATATAACTAAAAGTTATTCTTTCTCTCTCTCTCTCTCTCTCTCTCTCTTTCTTTACCACATCATTAATGTGAGGCACAAAAAGGGTAGGCCTGAACTTGACTTTGAAATAGTTGCTTTTGTGTCTCTGAAAATTATCACCAAATGATAGGAAAATGTAGTATCTGGTCAATCTCCAGATCAGGATCTTTGCTGCTATTATTTACTAGTTGGGTTTTTGCTTTTAAGTATTCGTTTGTTGATACTCTAAGATTGTGAATCAGTAATCAGCAATAACTGAAAGGTAAATGTCTTTGCTTATTTAAATGGTATTGGAACATCTATATATTGCAGTTAAGACTTTTGAGCAGTTTTCAGCAGGTTAATACCACTTTATTCTCATTCTCTCCGGACCTTCATAGCCATATGCACTTGTATAAAATAAGCAGAAATTTATTGACTGTAAGCTGAGATCGTGATATAAAAGGTAAGAGATTTTATTTTCAGCTTAAAGAGTATTTTTACTGCTTTTTTTTTTTCTAAAAATCTCACCTGTGAAAGTCTTGTATATGGTACATTTTTTATTATTTAACTCTCTGTTTGAACAAGTAATACTTAGGTCTGAATTCCAACTTTTTACGTTGTCAAGGCCAGTTCAAATATTCTGGTTTGAGTTTAATGAGAAAATATTACTTAATGCTTTTAAGAAATCGTTTGGTTTTATCAACAGACTGTTCTACTTAAAATATCCTTTTGCAAAGCCTAAAAAGCTGTACTGATACTGCTGTGTATGAGGCACTGCATTCCTTGCATATTTGTCGAAAACATTCGGGTAGGTACTAAAGCCATGGCCTGCACTGAAAGCCACACCATGGTGACAGGGATGTGAAATAAAAATGCCAAGTGGAATATGTAACGCTATCTAACTTGTAGGAGAGAAGTTATTTCCCTAAACTACTAAAGCTGAACTCCAAATGGAGAATGAAAAAGCTTGATGATATTACAGTTTAAATCTGCAGAGATCAGATTACACTAGGCCAAGCTAATTCACAAAGCAGCCGATCTGCTTTCCTCTTGTGGGCACAGCAGGAGATGGGAAGGCAGGCAGGCAGGCAGGGGTTTAAGCCTGCATGAATAAATTGTTCAGCTGTGGTTTTCTAAAGATAGAAATGAAAATAGAGACATCCATAAATATTTTCAGTGCTGTAGTAGATGTTTTAACTAATGTTTTACACAGAGGAAAATGGTTTCAGACGTATATGGTGCACATGATATGTGTAGTTTTAAAATAGTTACTTTTTTAATTTGCATTTATATAACCTTACATTATGCAAAGTTGCATAGTACAGTGCTGCTTAACTGCAGTACTTGCAGCACTTGAAGTTGCTGGAAACAACTCTTTTTATATTAAAAAAAAAAAAAAAAAAAAAAAAGGAGGTGGGGGGAGTGGGGTGATGTATTAACATTTTAGGGTCTCATTTCAGAGATGAAAGCATTAAATAGCCCTGACTGATCACAGTTCATACTGGTGTGAAATTAGAAAAATACTTGGTATGAAATATGTAGTAGTAAATCAGACCCAAAGCTAGTTATTTTGCATCAAAATATAATGCCAAAAACAAACTGTATTTCATTTCAAAATTGAAAACATCAAACTCAGTAAATAACTGCATATGTAGGTTCTCCATAATTGAGGATATGTCTGGGTAGAATTCATAGGCTGATGTAGAAAAATAGCTGTCAAATTTTGTTAGTTTAGCTAATGTTGGTGGAAACTTGACCTTGCAAGTGGCCTATGTGTTTGCACCGGGGGAAACGAACTTAAAGAACTTTACCAGTGACTTGCCTGTTAAAGCACATAGCCATTTGATTACATTTGCAGGTGCAATTGATGAGCCATCAGAATGTACTTCCTGTTTGATGGTGCAGATTTTCATCTTCTGTTACCTTCAAGGTGCAAACAAAGCACTTGGTCTGAAGCTCATTTAAAATTCAGTTCATTCTTTCAGCTTGTCAGGCTAAGCAATCCTGATAGTGGAGCAGCAGGCTGCTCTGCTTCCTCTGGAAGACAGTATTTTATATGCTTCAAGACAATGTTAAGGTGCATTATAATGAACTTCTCTTGAGTATTCCTTTCCTAGGTTTAACTCAGAATTATTACAGTCTGACAAGCAGTCATCTGTCCAGTTCAAGAACTGAATAATGAAATGTCTTGCTAACTTCTTTGATCTCTCTTTTGTGGCCTGTATTTGGCAGCTTAATTTCTGTGTATTGCTTTCCATCAGCATTGTTTTGCTGTCAACTTCCACGTTTTTCTGTCATTACTGCTTTAACTCTCGGAATCCTAACCATTCTGCCCTTGCTACCTGAAATTTTCACTTTCTTGGATCTTCTCATTTTGTTCACTGAAAAGATACTGAATTTCTTTGGTATGTTTTTGCTCATAAAGCAGTAGATACCTCCACAATTTGTTCTCATGGCTTTGCTGCACCCTTTCTCAGTAGGATGGACATTTCCTGGTATTGAAATACATACTGCACTCTTATATCTGTT